CTATTTTTGAAGAATGCTTAAGTTCAATTGGATGTTCCTACAGTCGTTTCGCGAAGGTTTTAATAAATAATTAAAAACTGAAATATTTTTTTTAATATGTAATAAACTCCAAATTTTAATATAATATTACTCGATATATATCGGGATAGTTGTGGTCTGAATACTTAAAAAACAGTTGACTGGAATTTGTTATTTTTAAAACAAAAACAGTATAGGCTAATAGGTTTTCAAAACAGTATAGGCTATCTTTTGCGCGGATAAACCATCTCCAATAAATTTTATAACCTCTTGCGATATGATACCAAGTTACATGTAGATACAGGTCATTCCACGCTAAATCGTCCAGTAACGACACCTACCCTTAATATACTTTAATCAAAAATTGTAAATATGAAATTAATAGACAAATTAGTAAAAAAAGCAAATTTTATTCAATTCTATCAAGCAGCTTCAGAATTATTGCCATATGAACGTGTAAAATATTAGAGCTTCAGATCAGAATTTGAGGTAAAACCAGTTCACAAATAAGCTTGTATGTATTTGCTATATTCTATATATATTTGTTGAGCTAGCGACTTCGAAATTCATTCATTTGTCTTGCATTCAATGGAGAATCAGATGAAAGTATTGGCATTGTGATTTTTCATCTTGGATAGAGTTTTATTAGGGTTTAAATCTAATATTAAAAATAAATTTACAAGTTTAACATATAAATTTAAAAAAAAAACGGCTAAATCTCTCCTTATACCCTATTACAACCACTTGTCACAGAAAAAGAGAATGAATTTTATGGTGGACTTTTAAGTTTAATGAATATTATTACAACTTAAATTTAATAAATTCAAATTAAGTTTAAAAGTTTCATACACTAGTAAACTTAATCGCGGCATTCTTTCCTGACTAAAAACAATAATCTTAGTACGTTTATCCTCGAAGTGGTAATGTGATAAAATCGTGTCCCATTTTCTGTGCAATTCATATAAATCTAATAAAATTTTACCCAGCTATTGTCTTACATTTGATTGATTTCAATATTAGTTATGTTATTAATAAATTTAAATTTTGAATGATAGAATATCTATTTAATTTTTCCCCTCTACCTCGCCTTTTCGGCTATATGGGCTTTTCCTGGGTAAGAGAAAGGGGCTGAAAATTATTGTAAGAGTTAAAAGCTACCTGCACGCAAGTTCATTCAGGATAATCTCGCCCCGGGCGCCAAAAACCCACGCAACAGTCCTGCCTACGCTGGAACTCGAATACGTAATTTTCAGGTTGCCGAGTGACACGTTACTCACTTTGGGGAATCTTACTCTAGTGCAAACTATATATTACAGAAAAGAGCTTGAAATTCTTTATCAAATTGACTCTTCCGAAATAAACTTCATAACCATCCGATTCATCTTGTTTCCAGCCTTGCTTCCTCTTCAATTCCTGATAATCCTCCGAGGCGTCTGAAAATAAGATGACCGCGTGATCTCCTTTTGTAGACATATTATTAGAGTGTTACCAGTGGCTAGTTTCTCAACATGCGTTTTCATGTGATTATATTTCTGTGTACACATTAGCTTGATGTATTTATATTTATACAGTTGTAAATATCATAAAATAAAAAAAGTTTATTACATTTAAAATTATTCATTGATACTATTAAACCCAAAAGTCCACCAACATCATTTCATTGATAAAGAATTTCATGCTCTTAGTTGAGCAGCCGTGCAATATTATTATTATAATTCTCTCTGCTTCTTTAGTACCTTCCTTCGACATGAAAAAAAAAAAAAAATTCTGCGGAGCCACTTCCCTCACATGTTGTTTTATATTGGGTTGTCGAAATGTCCTATTTTTTTAAATGTCCAGACAGCAAGAAATATTGATCAAGCGTTTGGTCAAGTGTTTCCTAAAGAAAGAAATATTCGTCGTCGGTTTCCTAAATTTTCTTCAAGAGAACCGACATTAGAGAATCTTCCTCTTCTCCTTAGAGATCTTAAGGAAGCTGTGGAAGAAAACCTTCATAAAATAGTGAGATAATCTGTATAATCAATCTGTATCTGTGTCTGTAATAGTGTCAGATCTCGGCACAGATCGAATGACCGGTTCGGAAGATGGGGAAGCATCCCTCTCACTACAAGTAGTTTTTTTTTTGCAGAGGCTCGATCTTGGAATTGAGCAGATGCATAACAAAAGGAGCGGGGTGGTCGAGCGGGCTAAAGCGTGTGCAAAACATAATAACCAAGTTTTGAGATAACCAATACTTGCGAGTTCAAATACCGATTCCCGGTGGAACATTTAACTTGGCATAATTCTCCAGCCCTCTCCCCCGACCAGGGGGGAAAAAAAACGTGTATACTAAAAAGGGCAAGGAGGGAAGAGACAAAAAAGAAAAAAAGCTGAGCAATATTATTATTGTAGTTCTCTCTCTAATACATAATTATATATCGTTATCCAGAGGTAGATTTTAACTGTGTTTATTTGTTAGGCTTTATAAACCAATCTAAAAAAGTCGTTTAATACCAAATCATCCAATTTTAATTATCCGTATCAAACTAATTAGTCATTTAAGCCAAAGTTTAATTTCATACACAATCGCCATAGATGTTAATTAAAATTTCTATGTATTGTGTAAATATAAAAAATAAGAAAAATGCCATCATATTTTAACATATTTTCCCAATTTCAAACAGGCAGTTTCAGAATTATTATTGTTTTAATCTTTAAGATATGTATTAGAACATCGGAGGACAACTTGAGAATAAAACATATTAAAATAAAAGAACATACCTTTGATGTTTATTAGAAATAGATTTAGAACTTGTTTAACAATACATAGTGTGTTATAACCTATGTATTAAATAGTAGTATCAAACTTCAATTATAAATCATTTCTGAAATTTAAAAAAATAGTAATAACTCATCGGGTTTAGAAAAACGTAGTCATTAGTTGCATATTTGAGTTTAAAAATGGTAGACAGATTTTTTACTATTTTATCATATTTGTGGGAGAGAGACTGATAATAGAGAGGGCTGACTGCCAAGACTTGTTGTTATCGGAAATCGGAAGATAAATTATCTTTAAATCGATCCCGTTTGTAAAATTAGATAGTTATCGTTTTCATAATTAACAGTGAAGGACATGAAAGTTTGATGTTTGATACCTAATTTAAATATGGTTTTGACAACTTTTTCTTACTTCATTTATTTAGAAATATAATAATCTTTTACGTGGACAATACATTGAGATATGAACACATTCACACCATATATACAGAAAGCATAAAATTAACAAAACTAAAATAATAACTAAATAATAATTCCAAACTATGAACAATAAAAAATAAAATAACCTAAATATAAGTAAATTAAAAACATAAAAACACAGCCATACCTATATGCAATATACACAATCAGGCAGGGAACCCCAAGCCAGGCTTGTCGCTCCAACTATATAGGGAAAAGCAAGTCTCCAGGAGATCCCTGCGCAACTCTCTCAACTGCGTCACTTGTGCTAAAGCGTGTGGAGATTGAGCGAGAGCACTTTAGCCAGATACACTCATGTCTTGGACAAATTAGGGGGCGGAGTGGCCGAATGGGCTAAAGCGTGTGCACAGCACCTCGAGTTGCCTGGCAACCGGATTACAGAGTTGAGAAGATTTAAAAAGTACGAGTTCGAGTTCCGGTACCGGAGAGGATTTAAAATTCCCCGCCCTCACTCCCCGGCCCGGTAAAATCCCGTATAGCCTAAAAAGGCGAGGTAGGGAAGAAAAAAATAAATAAATAAAAATAAAAACAAGATAAAAAATAAAAAAAATGTCTTGGACAACTTTTAATCAGAAATTTTCTTAGATCTACTAGGTGTCCGGAAAATAATGCAAAATATCATTTCTTCTTTAAATTAATCCTCTATGTAACAAATGAATTATAATTGAATGATTATTATTTTGTAAGTGGATCTTATTTAATCTTGACACTTATTAATCCTCTTCCAAACATAATCTTTTTTTTTTAACTTCTGTAACATTTCACGAGTTGAAAATAAATTAGCAGTTACTAAGATATTACAGCGTGATTTTCGGATAATTTCGTTTTATGAGTTGAAATTTATCGGAGGTCGAAAATGAGTCTAGACGTTCAGAAATTTAAATGAAGTCTGAGGAGATGGCAGTGATGCAGATGAGTGAGTGCTCCATTTAATGATGGTTCGAAAAGAAGACGTCTGTCTTAAAGACAAAGATGGTCCTGGAAGGACTTCTTCCCTTGATAACTTAACCAACAACTGTTCGATAACTTGCAGAGAAACTCTCAGTTGGCAAATTGACTACCTCAGCGCAATCGCTAAAGTAAAATACTTAAAATTCGTGGTCCACATGCATAAAATGACCTCCTAAAAAATCTTCTTTATAAAGTTTGAACTGCATTTCTTTGTCGAAACAGAAAGTAATCTCAATTTGATACACACAGTGACACCATCCACACCGCTTTACCATCCAGACCGCTTTACCATCCAGACCTCTCGCCTACCAACTCTCATTCTTTAAGACATCTCGTCCACTTTTTAAAAGGTGTTGATATTATTGATTTTCTGACGAAAATAATTTTCTTAATCATTTGAATTTTATTCATAATTCGTTAGAATATGCATTTTCATACTTTATTGATAATGACGGTATTCAGAGGAAATGCAAAAAGTTTAAAAAGCTGGAGCTACCAAAACCTTGGCAGTAATTACCAAGAATAATGGAGCTTATTTTAATTAATAAAGATAGTCATTTATTTTATTTTCTTCATTTCAAAACCATTAACCTGTATTAATTTCTGAACATCCCAATATTTTCAACGCGTATTATTTACTGTGTTCTAATTTATGATAATTTTAATAAATGAATAATAGCCTTGTTTAAACAACCAATATCACTTGACACTCAGCAACTTATCTTTAGATATTTAGGAGATAACTGCTGAAGAGATAACAGTTCGAAGAATGTCTCAAATGAGCAATCGTGGTGGGGAAGATTTGGGAGGGGAGCTTTCTCCTTTCAGTTCTGTCCACGGACATCTTTGGGTCTACGACTTCTTGTGCTCCGGAGGACGCCACTGAGGTTTGATTCAGTCCTATCTTTACCAACGCACCGAATCCCCACTACCTCCGACCACACCCGGAGGCACTAAGCTGCTTACTAGTTGGGTCAAGGTCGCCGTGTCTCTGTTGTCGTCTGTCAGGTCCGTACTAGCGTCTTCTATTTTATAATATTAATTTTAAACAATCGTTTCAATGATATTTTTTAGTCATAAACTCTATCTCGAATAGCACTAAGATAATAATTGGGAGTAGTAACATCATCTTAAAAACTACAGCAGTGTTGGGTATATTTGTATTTGTAAATATAAATACGAAATGGATTTATAATTATGGTTCCATAAATATGAATATTGATAATTCGTAACCACAACTGTTAATATAAATACGGCTGTATTCACACAAGCAAAACTGAATACGGTTGTATTTCAGCCTTTAAACATGAATAGCCAATGATAACTTTTACTAACACATCTATTTATTGAAGTGAATTGAAATATGTTCACATAATATTATGAATGGATACTCTTATTTACTAAACAAAGATTCATTTTTCAATAAATGTATAGTTCTGAATTCAAATATTTGCAATCTTATTCACCCCTGAAAAAGTGGATAATAATAGCTTGTATTTAGAGATGTGAGTAACAATAGTATAATAAATAAAAAAAACTATGTTAAAAATACTTTAAGTAGAACTACGTTAAAACTATTTTAAAAAGAACTACACTTAAAACAACCCGAACTCATAACCATCCATTGGCTTCCCGTAGTCGGGTAGTAAGCGTATTCGGTTTCAGTACATAAGCAACTATTCAATCCAGAGCTGTAAATTATGGAGAAATTAATATTTACTTATAAAATGAGTCTTTTATCAGGAACAATTATATTAGGTGATCCGACCGAGCAGTGCATTTTTTTTTTTTTTTTTTTATAACTAACAGTAATTATTTAGAGGATTATATAAATATAATAGTATTATTATTCACACAAATACAAGCGCATTCACTTCTACAGGAGTCACTGACGGATCAACAGAGGGGAGCGACTTTAGGCTTCAGACCCCAAAAAATGGAAATATTATTTTTTTCCATGGGTGCATATTTGTTACCGCGAGTGATCTAAGCTAAGTGGGCTTCAAGAATCCCATAATCGCTTAAACATCATTTCTTATAGATAGTTTGTATTTTTCACAAAGTAATTATTATTTCACAAACTACCTATATGAACTGATGTTTAAGCGATTATGGGATTCTTGAAGCCCACTTAGCTTAGATCACTATCAGAGTACTAACAGATAGAGAAGAAAGACCAACAAAAAACTGCTTACAGTAACTGGTCGATCAATATCCCATGATGTGAAGGTTAAGATGGGCGGGGTACGAGCTCGTAGCGATCCATCTGGAAGCCTCTACGTAACAATGAATGCCTCAATAGAAGGCAAAAGACCACGTGGAAGGACAAAAAGCAGATGGACGGATAGAATCAACAAATATGCAACAGAGCTAGATGCAGATAAATGGAAAGAAATTGCCCAAGGCAGGCAGAGATGGAGCAGGCTTGTTAAGGCAGCTAAAGATATACATGGTCTATAATGGCAACAGAATAAATATATATATATATATATATATATATATATATATATATATATATATATATATATCAGTGGGTCGGTATATCAGTGGGAAACACGGGTATACATATATATATATATATATATATATATATATATATATATATATATATATATATATATATATATATATGTATACCCGTGTTTCCCACTGATATACCGAGCTAGGGTGGCTCTTCCCCTCCTTCAGAAGACAATACTTCCTTGGTACTCATTAATATGCTCAAAGCTGGACTATGATTGTTTTAACTGCAGTTCCGGTTCCTTAATAAACTTGATGCAGTACACCACGCTGGTATTAGGATTGCGACTGGCGCGATTCGAAGCAGCCCGGTGCTCAGTTTGTTTTTAGAAGCAGGAGAACCCCCTATTTTATTTAGACGAGAAAAACTGGCCATTAATTATAATTCTGGACTATACCCTCAAACTGAATACCCGACATATAGATATATTTTTAAGGCAATATTTTCGAAATTTTGTGAAAAGAAAACAAATTCAACCCTCCATTTGTCAGAAAGAATTAACTCAGCTACTACATTCCTTAAAGAATTACCTTTAGAAAAAAAAAAAAATTACAATCCTCCGTGGATAAACAAACCACCAAAAACGATACTAACCTTACCACAATTACCGAAAAAAAGGAAACCTAGGATACCGACGGATCAAAATCCGAAGAATCCACAGCATCTTCATTTATTACTCACAAAATAAAACTACATAAATTGTCCAGTTATATACAGCTGAACTTCACGCAAGATCATCAAGCTCTCCATTTCTCCAAGTCAATAACACCCAAAACAATGGTAATAATAACAGTTTCTTTGTGTTCTTTAAAAGCTATTAATAATTTATACCCGATGTATCCGACTATTTTAAAAATCCATGGGTATTTAAATATGCTCACGTGGAGATTGCTGTAAATGAGCTCGGAGACGCGCCGGCCAAACATGCGCTCACTCCTCCAGGCGAAGGCGCTGCTATTTTAACAACACTAGACACAAGTCTTCCACTCAAAAAGGAAATAACTCTTGCAATCCAATAGGCTGGCAATCCATGTGGAACGGGAGCCCTCCAAGTAAATTGAAATCAGTGAAATCATGGTTCACCTCGAACCGCCTTATTCCTGGAGGGGAAGTTGCCTTAACTAGATTAAGGATAAGTTATACAAACCTAATACATTCTTACCTTATAAGTTAACAGCCATCACCAAAATGCCAACGCTGCTGCCAACACAGTATACTAACAGTCAGCCATATTTTTCATGAGAGTCTCTATTAAGTTCAATTTTAACCAAGTTAGGACTCACGCCAAAACTATCAGATATTTTAAATAATGATGAAGTTAAAGTTAGGTCGGTGTTAAATTTTCTTAAAGTTAATGATTTAATAAACAAAATTTTAATTTGAGGTGTTTTTATTTATTTATTATTTTTATTTTTATTTATGTTTTTGTCCAAGAATAACTTAGCATTGAGACAATTGAAGTAAAGATTGGATAGGCGTTGATGAACTCGGGATTTTACGCCTCTAAGCCCTAAACAGCAACTTCTTTGGCACATTCCTTTACAAAATAATCAACAATCATGCCCATTCCTATGTATACAATTCTCCTACAGTTTAAATCATCTATCTTCTCCCTCTCCACAAGATCTCGTCCTTTTGACCTTTACACCTCTTTCCACAGATCTGCTTCATTTTAATACTCATTTATTGTCCTTTTATCAATTTTTGAAATTCCATCTCCCTTAAAATCCTTCATGAACCATCCTTATCCATATTCAAAACCCTCTTATTCCAATTCCTCTTCACAATCCAATCAGACTCTTCTGTTTACAAGATTTTATATATTTAAGATGTATTTCATTTTTTTCATTCCTCAATATGTATATACGTATATCTTTTCCTCTCTTAATCTATGTATATAGTTTACAATACCATTGCTAGTATTCATTGAAAGATCTTAAGTAACATATATAAATAATTTATTTTATTTTAATGGTTTTGTCATAAAATAAATTTTGTCCTTTTTCCAATTGTATTTATCTACTTATTGTTATTTTATTTCTCTTATACCGCTATAATGCAATATTATGATTCCATTACTCACTTTCATTAATATATCTTTAAGCTATGTATAAATTATTTTGTTTTAATTGTTTTGTTAAGAAGGGAGACTTTTTTGCTGAAGCATTTCCAAAAAAGAAATAATATATATATTGTTTTCTTTATTGATCTGTAATTCTTTCTCTGATTGATCTGAATTAAATTCTTAATCAATCTATAATATACCCTTTTTAAAAGATTATTGCTTCTGCAATTCTAGTTTTGTTTTTTTTAAATGCCTTTAATGATCACTTTTTACACTTATACATATTTATATTTATATACAATACATAATACATGACCAATTTATACATATTTTTCTTCCAGAGTAATGACCGTTAAAAAAATCCTCTTCCCCACCCAAAATGAAATTCTGAATCCGCTTATGATGGAAAACTATTCTAAAACGTTAATAAATAAATAAATTACATTTAAAACATTTCGGAAGTCTCTTTCACTACATATATCAAGCAAGCAAGAAGAGGATGTTTTGTCATATTAATCACAATTGATTAGAAATAAAGTAGACCCAATACCTATAGCAGGTATTTGGAAGTATTGTGTGGTCATGAATATTGCTTACTTCATTCCTAGTTCCAAACGTTGTGTGTTCGATTTCTAACCCTGGTTGATTAATATTTATTTCACGGAGGTCCCGAGAATCTTGACATTTTCACTCTGGTTGGTACACACCGAAAACATTTAGATAGCCGTCAGGGATTGGCAAAAATGACCATAAGCACTAGTGAAACCAGGATTTCATTTGCTGGTGGGAGAGAGGCTTCAGCCGGAAAGCTTGTTTTTTTTTAACTATAATGAAAATTACTTTGGAAGAAAAAAAAAAACTAAGTACCTATACGAAATGGTGTTTAAATGATTCTTGAAGTACTATTAAATGTAATTAAATAAACAATAATACTTTTAGAGATCATTTTTTAATAAGACATGGTAATATTTTAACATTTTGGGAGGGGGGCTTCAGTCTGAAAGCTCTCCCTCCTGGCCAATTTACCAAGAAAATGAACAGTAGAATAAGATCCTATAACAGTCCATTATTTTATATATATATTTCATTACCTTTCATCTAAGTAAAATTAAAAGTAAAATTTTATTTGGTAAGATAAAACATTACTTAATGTGATGTTAAGAATTGGGTATTGTGAATTTTCACATGCCCATCTACTAAAAAGACTGGACCCACCGACATGCAAGAGCTGTAAAGTACAAAGAACAGTCCAACACAAAAAAACCCTATCTTTAAAAATATAAGAAAAAAAAATTGGATATGGCAAAAACCCTAAAAGAAAACCTGATTGACGATGAAAAAGCCATGAAAAAAACCTTGAAATTTTTAAAAATTCTATAGCAGAGTTTAAGCCAGAGGTGTTGTCAATGACCCTCCAGGATAGAGGCAACTATAAACACAAATAAATAAATAAAATGTGGTTCAATGAAATTTTGACTAATGAGCAAATTTTCAATAATCTTGGTAGAAAGTAATTATTTTCCAAACTGTATTAAGTGAAATAATTATGCTAAATTATGTTACAATAATAGTATTTTATAATCAAGAATTTATCTAAAGTTGGGAATGATGGTCTGAATCATTATCACTTGAATGTGTTTCATATTAATTTATATAAATATATTTCTGATTTTAAAACTCCCTAATTCCCAGGTCAGACAATATTAAAATTTGTATTTTTTGACAGCGTCTCTGTAACCCATTTTAAATTATAACAGATTTTATTTGATATTAATACATCAAATCGATGAAACTAAAACTTTCCTCTATTGTTCATCATTCCCTTTTCTACCGATTTTGCCTGGACATGTAGGAAATTGGCCTAAATCGCCCACGTGCCCTGGCCAACTAGTCTATATTTAGATCTAGATTACCCTACTCTTCCTCTACTTAATCTATTATGAAAATAAAACAGGAGATAATGCGAATTTATTAAGTATATACAATTAGATAACACTATTCATGCCTCTGTTATTTCTTTTTGTGCCATTATGAGATATTAATTTTAAATTGATCTTAGACAGAGATTTCATATAGACAATATTTCTTGGATGTTTTCAAACTAAATGTTTTCAAAGTATTCTAAAATTGCATTTAGTTCCTGCTTTTACTTACAAATTAATATCAGATAAATTAAATATTCTGTCATTAATAAAAATATTTTATGCTTAAATTAAAAAATAAAATAAATATTTCTATGTGTATTTCTAGATGTTTCACTAAACAAATGCTTGATTATCCTCATTTAATATTTTCCTATTTCATAATATTAAGATTTATTTTTCACAATTTGTTTGATATCATTTCATTGTTTATTTATTTCAGTCTACCGTTGAAAGTAGTTAACTAATAAATGTTAAAGTAAATTTAATCATTTATTGATTTTTTTTTTTTTTGTATATTCATATTTTTCAAACAACCTTAATTTAATTGTATCTGACAGAATTTGTATGACATTTCTAAGTCACTATGTATTAAGATAATATATGTTTATCATATCAGAGAACAGATGAATCTGTCAAAAATTAAAATTTCTTTTTGTCATTACATTGCATAAATTATATTTCCAATCATTAATTTTTAAGGACGTGCTTTTAAAAATTTCAATAAAATTATACATTTATTTTTATTTCTTTATATCATATAATTCAAACAAGATTACTATACATTATAAAAAAATAAGTTTTATTAAAGGTAAACAAAAAATTGATACACCTATTTCAGCAAAAATTTGAATGAAGCTCCTGTCATCTTAAATACAATGGCTTCAAATACTTTAACCATAACAAACACATAGTGTAAATGCTCTGTTTCATAAATGGTGTGAATTAGTTCTCACAAATGATTCTTTCATTAATAGGACTGTTTGTAGAGATACTAGTGAAAGAAATAAGAGCAAGGCCATTTGATTAAACCATGAAGAAGATGAATTGTAGATTTGATTGTTGAAGTGTTAACTATAAAGCCTAATAATTATTCTTACTTCACCAAAATAAAATTGTTTTTATTTTTCATAATTTTATGGAATACATGGACAAGCAAAGAACTCTCTTATTTTTTTATCTTCATTTTGTTATTATATAAAGTTGAGGTTTTGAGTACTTGTCTCTATCATCAGAACTTTTTGTTTTATGCTGTGATGGTACAATGAATTGTTCATTTTTTATTATAAGTCTAAAAGATGCTTATAAATATTTTATTACTATTATCTAGCAAATACCATATATAAATGTATATATATAAGCATTCTTGAGTTATAAACTGAAAAAATGGACAATATAATATAACTTCTAAGCATATAAAAATATTTTTGAATGATGGAAAAAATCCCTGAAATATCAAATTTATGTAATTAAAAACGGAATTAAGAAATAAATAAGTTCATGGTTTGGTCCACGATTCAATAATTATATAAGTTTAAATAAATAAAAAAGCCTGTACCACCAGAAACCTTGAAAAGTCTTGGAAGGGTGAAATTTGTAAACTTCACTAGGAATTTCTTAGACCTGATTATACAAATCCAATCATTCTATCTATACTATGTGAAATTTTTAATTAAATGTTAAAACAATAAAATATTATTAAATAATTTAAATATATTAAATCTCTGCCTAATGGTTATGTTTTTATAAAGATCAAAGGGACTGGTATTTTTGTTTTATTGCAGCATGAACAAATTAATAAATATTGTTGTATACCTAATATAAAAATTAAAAATGTACTGCGTAAATCAAATTAAATTCATATATACTAATTATTATTTTATTTCTTCTAATCAAATTTAGAAAATCCACTAATGAAGCTTGTATTATGATGTAAGTTATAGAAATAAAAATGATTAAAGATTAACTTACATAATGAATGATTTTTATTCCTTTAGGGTGGACAAATGGCTATGTATGTATTGATGTAATTCTGACTCTTAAGCAAGTGATACTGAAAAATTCTACAGCATGCTGATAAGTAGTAAACTTAAACAACATCTGAGATCCACTCATTAGATAAAAAAGAAAAAAAAATGCATTACATAAATCATCATTCTAATTTATTCTATCTGATAAAGGCATTCCTACTGAATAATAATTGTCATAATATAATTTTCGCCATACATTTTTTATTTCAATAATGTTAATAGAATTTTTTTATTTTTCTAGTAATTAACTTCAGAATCGTTTCTTCCTAAAAATTTAATGTTTGTATCAACGACTGTATCACTTTACTGTTACACTCAATTACTATATCACATTTACCTTAGTTTTTCATTAAAATTCAAAACTTTAGTTACCGTTCAATAAAATTAACAAAAATTCATTTAATGATAGAAAACTTTTTATTCATAATCGTTTAATTACTGGAAAATAATTAATGTATCATCAAGTATTAATAATTTTTTAATTTGTTATTTAACCATTTTTAAATATGAAAAATACTTCATGATGTTGAATACATGAAAAGCTAATAACCTCCACCTTTAGAAATAGAACAGTTCTATGAAACAGATTTATAAAGTGATTAAATTTATTATACTATAATTTTTATTGTTTTGAATGACATTCCTTGATATAGCACACAAAAAAATTAATTACAAGCACTATCAAGGCAGATAAGCTATTGTAATTTGGTTATTCTTAATATTAATAAATAAAAGTATTTCTTACACAATTTATAGGTGGCTGAAGAAAATCATACAAATAATGTGAAAAACATAAGAGAAATAAGTTGTCTCAAAAAAATGAGTAACACTTATTTCTTCTGTTCATTTTTCCTACTTTTGGTGTCTTGAAGTTTTTTTATTTGTTACAATAAATTAGGCCATTGTTCACCAACATTTTTTTTTTTTTTTTTTTTTTTTTTTATTACGCATCAATTTAACATTTCGACCATACTAAGGGTCATTTTCAAAACTGGAAAATTATAGTAACATTATTAGTTAATATTCAGCATTTATAAAATTAATTTCTTACTACATTTAATTGAATTGTCTAACATTCTATGTCAAAATATTTCCGATATACTTAAATTTATATAAAAATATACATAAAGTATACACTTTTTATTAAAAAAACCCTTATATGTACGTAACTATAACCATTAAAACTCTAACAATTAAAAACAAATGACTATTACCTAGATGAGTCCTCCTAATATGTTCATCCTTAATGTTCTTATTAATAAGTTCAGTGAACATTAACTTGTCAATTTTTATAGGGGCTTCGCCGACTTCATTTCTGGAGGGACTGACTTATATCGTCCTGGTGGGGATAGTCAAAAGGAGAGGGATTTTCCTTCTAATGTTTTGCATTGGTGGATTATTATATTATTATATGCGAATTTTATTAATTATATTTGCGTAAAAAGTATTTATATTATCCACATCTGTATGGTTGATAACAGAATTATGTAAATTTTTTGTAATATATATAGACTCTATAATCTTTCTTTTATTGTTACTACTTTCCTTGTATATTATTTTGGCATTTTTAAAATCAAATTGGTGTTTGTTATATGTTGCATGTTGTGAAAGGCCGGTTGATGTGTTTGATTTGGACTTGCTGTGGACCAAGCTTTAATAAAACTTAATATGACTCTTTATATAAATTTAAGTATATCGGAAATATTTTGACATAGAACGTTAGACAATTCAATTAAATGTAATAAGAAATTCATTTTATAAATTCTGAATATTAACTAATAATGTTATTATAATTTTCCAGTTTTGAAAATGACACTTAGTATGGTCGAAACGTTAAATTGATGCGTAATAAAAAAAAAAAAAGTTGGTGAACAATGGCCTAATTTATTGTAACAAATAAAAAAATGAGTAACACTTACTTCTATCAATCACAACTTCAATTTCAGCCTGAAAATGTCTATTTAAATAGAACATCATTGATTTAATTAACGTAGCCAATTTAATAGTCTCAATTGAGAAAAGTTAGAAAAATACGAACACAAGAATTTTGAACATTATTATTTTTATTTTTTATGCCTCAATGATCAGAAATCTAGTATGTTGTAGTTTTTTTTTTCTAGGTGCAATGGAAAGTAAACAATTGGAAGTAGTTCTGAAAAGATGGGGAAAAGGGTCAAAAATAGATAAAGTTCTAAGTATAACATCAGAAGCCGCAGTCCCTAAAGGCGAGAACTACCTCTCTGTGATTACAAGACTGAAGCTTAAGGTTGTCCTTGGAAATGGAAGAATTTCCAGAAAAAACTTGATTGTGAAAGAGACACTGAAAGATGAGTCGGTAGCACAACTGCTCCAAGAAATGGGAACTTTCAAAATAGAAACAATGGTATTTCACATATTACAGTTTCTGTTGTATATTATTTTATGATATTAACTACAATCTTTTCTCTGTTAACTGTTTTTGGCTCGTTACGTGTATTTAAACAGAAATAATATAGATTTTGTATCTGTCTTACCGTTTAATGAAATGAAAAGCTATCAGAAAATTAATTATTTAATATATTTTATTTTTTTATTTCTCATAATAGTAGTACTTTGGCCAAAACATGTCTTTTTTATTCTTATTTTTCAATTTGTATGACACAATTATACATTAACATGGCTATAATTCTGTTAACTTGTATTTAGTATTGAAAATCATTAATCTCAAAGAATTCCTTTTTTCTCACAAGATTAAGGAACATCTTTTTAACTTATTATTTATAAAATTTCTCATTATATGTTAGTAATTTCTCGTTATATCTTAATAATCTTATAATAAGTTATAAATTTAATTTGAATTCCTAGTATATAATTTAAAGTTTTAACGATCAATCACATTTGACCTATTTATGGATATAAAATACTAAATAATCAATAAACAAACAGAATTCTACAGATAATAAACATACACAAATTTATAATTATGAGAGGAACTTACATATTTCAGATGTATTCTCTAATTCTTAAAGAATTTGAACATTTGATGGATCACTTTGGTGACACCGATGATGTTATGTGGGGTCAGATGTATTATGCTGAACCATTTTCCTATATGATTTTTGAGGACTTGACGGTAAACAATATTTAAAATTTAAATACATTATTAACTTATTACTTAATCTAATCAAAATTAAGATACTTTGTTGTTTGAAATTTTCATTTCTGATAGGAAAAGGGATTCCGTTTAGCTAAAAGGCAAACACCATTTGATTTAGAACATGCTTCTCTGGTTCTTTGGAATCTGGGACGATTCCATGGGATGTCTAAAATCTTGGAACAGAAAGGAGTGTTTTCCAGGTCTGATTTCAAGCCCTGTTCATACACAGTCAACAAACAAGTGCAAGAATGCTTTTTCTATCATGGTCTTAGAGCACTCAGCAAAGCAATGGAGGACTCTTGGGGATCTTCTTGGTATGGCATCTCTTGTACTCATACTTATAAAACTTTTTTTTTTTTTTTTTTTTTTTTTTATATTTGTATTCGCCTCTGCCCTAGAGGGTCATTGGTGGTTTTTCTTAATTTTTATATTTTACTATAGTGATTTTTTTTCCAATAAATATTGAAAGAGAATGTCGACATTTTCCTCCTTGTCTCCCAAAATATCTTTCAATGTTGTTGATAACTTTAATTTTTGTTTCTTTTTTTTATATTGGGGGCACTCTAATAATAGATGTTTAACTGTTTGAGGTGTATTGTCGCAGTTTTCGCAGGTTGGCGCTTCAAGTCCTCTAAGTAGGTATCCGTATGTGAAAAGACAGTGTCCGATTCGCATCCGGCACAATATTATTTCTTCTCTTCTCGATTTTCTGAAGCTTGTGGTCCATGTGTTGCACTTGGTTTGGCTAGTTTGGCTCGTTGTATTTTCCATTGGTCTTCCCAATTTTTTAATAGCTTTTTTCTTGCTTCATGGATCCAATCTTTAACGATGATGTGATTTATTGTTGTTATGCCTGGGAGCTCTCCCTTTCTCACCAAATGAGCAGCTTGGTCTGCTTTTTCATTACCCATTATGCCACTATGGGATGGAACCCAGATAAAGATCACGCATACTGATCTTTTTCTCATCTCCCACCATACGTTTATTATTTCTCTAATAAGAGAGTTGTTAGGCCATGGGTTATCTATGGCCTCAACAACGCTTTTGGAGTCGGTTGCTATGATCCATTTTCTATCTTTGAAATTCGATATCCAATAAAACTTGAATTTTGTGGAATTAAACTTTATTGCTATGAATTATCAATTAAAACATTTCTAAAAAAAAAAACATTTTCTAGAATAAGTTTAAATACGATCTTGTTTGATTTTAGATATATCAATTACAGTTTGTGATTGAAGTCTAAAACATTATAGGCTCATTGAATATTAGCCATTTCTGGACACATTTTATCTATATTAAATGATAAAAAATTTAAAAGCAAACAGAAAATGTTTTAATTTATACCACCTACATATTTAAGTACCACATGTAATTTTAAGAATGATTATGAAATGTCAATATTTAAAAAAAAAATAAAAGTATGTTTTAAAATAATATCCTTAGACAATAAATAATAATAGGCATACAATTGCTCAACACATAAAGATGCCATTAGACACTATAAGAAAGAGGATGGCTGAGCTTGGAACCATTGATGACACCAAGTTCAACACTCTCAACCACGGTGATTGCTGGTGCAGCAATATCCTGTTTAAATATGACTGGAAAAAACGACCTGTTTCACTCAGGTATGATTTTATATTTTTAACTAGTTATGTTAAATAATATCTTCTTTATATTAGTTTTCATCTTCAGAAATGATTACATGGTAAGATTTAAAATCAATAAAAGGATATAAATTGAATAAGCACCATCAGGGATACTTAAATATATTTATTTTGCATTATTATAAATAAATAAAACAGTAGATGTATGAGTAGTATTGAATTTTTACATTTATGGCAAATGAGCTATTTTGTTTTTTAAAAATTAATTTCTAAAATATTGTGTTCAATATTGTATTACAAGTGATAATGTTATTAGTTCTTCTGCTCTCAGTGATTAGAAAAGCACATAGTTCCTTCGTAATTCACTAGAAATAAAAAAAAATTGTTTTTTGTCTCATGAAGAAGGTTAAAACTAAAATGCAAAAAAATAAAAATAAAATAACAAAAATAAACAGTAAGACAAACTTTATTTCAATATTTTTTAGTTATGATTTTTTTTTTACTTTCAAAGATTTTTTAAAAACTTTTTCTGTTAGTTTTTTTAATGATTTATCATATCACCAAAGATAGAAACACACATATTGGTATTGATTTCTTTGGTATGTGGTATTGGTATTCATGGATAAGTAAAATAAATATTTTTAAATTTATCTACTAAAGTGTATTTATTGCTCCATCACTTTGTTGTTTACAGATTTATTGACTTCCAAGAATCGCACTATGGGACTCCTGGGTGGGATATTCATTTTTTCTTGAGTATGAGTGTTGATGCAAACGTTCGTAGGAATCATCTAGAAGACTTATTGGAGACTTACACCAATTCCCTCACTTCAACATTGAAATTCTACAACTATGATGGCAAAATACCTACATTAAAAGATATCAAGGAGGACATGGACAGATTGGCACTCTTTGGTTTTGTGATACTCGGTGTTATACACCCCTGTGTAACATGTGAAGAGCAATACACTATTGATTTGGACACTATAATTGGTTCGAATGGATCTGAAGGTTATGACATGGAAATTTTTAGGTCCCATAAAATAAGGGATCGCATTGGGCCAGATGTAATTAATGCTGTGGAAAAAGGAATACTTTGATTTAATCTAATGACAAAAATACGGAATGAAAATGAATATTTTAAATTTTCAATCACTTTTTTAATTTTAATAAAGATCAGGAGGGATCTGACCAATGACCTCCTTAATTTATATTATAAACTAATCTCCAATTGATAAACTATATCAATAAAACTTTTTTTAATGAATTAGATTCTTTTACTCCATTGTTATTAACTATAAATTATTAGGTAAATTTTAGTATTTTTTTAGCTAATCTATTGAAAATCAATCTTTGTTCAGAAAGGATGAACTCTTTAAAGATTTGATGATGACAGCAATGAGGTTTTAAGATTATTAACTAATATTGTATTTAAAACTATTTTTTAGACATGTACCCTTTTGAGACATTATCAATATCTTCTTGGCTGTGATGTATAATTTTTGATAATCAATATCTTTTAATTCCAACTAATAAACTTGAGCATTGTATTTCTACTAAAAATCCATATTTATATTTATGTAATTTTTTATGTATATATTTTGTATAATGACTAATACATATGAGAATTGATAGTTTAATAAAAGCGATGTTTTATGATATAGTTCGATGAAAATTAATTATTATAAAGTTAATGTTCATAAAAAAAATAATAATAAATCATGACACATTCATTAAAAAAACATTTGAAAAAAGAATCTAGTAAATACTTAAAAAACATTTTTTTTTTAGCCATAATTATAACTTAAAAAATCCATTTTTCATTCATTGATAATGAAGTTCTCATAATGAATATTTGAAAAATATTTAGTGCTTATTTTTATATTATTATAACGTAAATAATATAATAAGGTGGAAGATAAATTATGACAATTTACTTAAGTTTTATACTAGGAATGCAGAAGCCCTCTACTCCACAAAATAAAAAAATTATAGAAAAGCAACAGAACTATATTTTGTTGATGTATCAAGTAAGAGGTCTTGATCTGCAAAAATATATTATATTTTTCAAGGTAAAAAAATGAAATAATATGAAGCTTATTAAGTACAACTTGATGTTTTTCCTAAATAATGTCAACAAGACTTTTTTTCCTTACCTTTTAGATTATATTATTAAAAAAATTATTTATAAATTAAAATGTTGCAATGGCACCTTTCAGTATGGGTATATATTTATAACTATTTCACGATAAATATCGGAGAGTTAGAGAAAAATCAAGATGTGAGTTTTAACTTTGTGCAACACAAGTTCGTCTTGGGACTGTCAAATAATTGCAATGGAACTATACTTATCTGAGCTATTATGGTATTCATCGATGTTTGTAAATCTACTGTTTGCTGCATTCTATTTTCCATGTTTCTTAAGGAATATGTATATATAATATTACAATGTTTTTTTATAATTTGACCTTTATATATTATAACTTAAGATATGAATTATAGTCTGATAACAGGTTATGAAATTTCATGACCTATTATCCAACTATAATTCATAGCTTATAATTTTATATATATATATATATATATATATATATATATATATATATATATATATATATATATATATATATATATATATATATATATCTGATTGTTATCTGATTGTTTGTTTCAGTAGTTTATTATGTAGTTTACAATTTACAATTTATTTTTATTACATTTCAAGTTTGAGGGCCGTCCTTAAGATGGCTTTAAAAACAGGGATATATATATATACTCATAAATAAATTCTATTTTAGGTACTTTTTTCTCTGTTTTTAAAGCCATCTAAAGGACGGTCCTCAAACTTGAAATGTAATAAAAATAAATTGTAAATTGTAAACTACATAATAAACTACTGAAACAAACAATCAAAGGAGAAAAATAAATAAAAAATATTCAATTTTTCTGATATAAAAAACAAAATAAATGAATCTGCAAAAAGGGAAAAATACCTAGGAGATTATATTGTAAAAACAATAAACAATTATCTTTAGAAAATCTTCTAAATATTGATAGTGCGGACAAACTCAGTAACATCTGTTTCGTTTTGTTAAAGGATATATATAGGTATTTAGAGTAAAGACTATATTATATTGTTTTAGGAATAACCATTTATTTATTTATATGTATATGGCTTTGGGAAAAACTATTGATGTTATTAAATCATTAATTAATTTTCGGATATACACTTTTTTATATTGTTTTGGGTTTTAGAAATAATTATGTATTTGTTTATTTATATATATATTATATATTTATGTATATATTTATATATATATATATATATACATATTTTATTTTGTTTTGTTCTCTTTCAATAGGAATTTACATATGTATACGTATTTATATCTTTATTTATTTATGCTTTGTTTATGCTTTCATTGTCATTCAATACTAACAACTACTAACACCAAATGGGCCAAACTCCATGGCTAAATGATGTACATAATAGCCAATAAATAAATTATCTATCTATCTATCAAAAAGGATGGATATGTCCCAAAAAAAAACTCTTTTTTGAAAATGTTCCCACAGTAAATAAAGTGCAGCCATAAAAATATGGGATATAAAAAAGGCTAGTAAAGTAAGAAAGGAGAAAAGGCTATACACACCTAGAATAAGGAGCATTTACAGAAGAAAAACCATCCTTGGATATCGGTCCCTGAGTTTCATTCCTCTATTTCATAAGGAACACATTCAGTTGAGCAATTTATTACTAACAGCGAAGGCAATTTCATCTTCTATTTCTTCTAAACCCAACGCATTCTTCTGGTAAAAATCCTTAGTGATCAATGTTCCTCAGCTGAATGTTTTCCATAATAAGGGGAATAATCTTCCAGATATGAAATATTTGGTTTTACGCAAACGATCCAAAACCGAGGTTAGAGGCGTTTTTAGCTAAATCCTTCATTATATTGCAAAAAAAAAAATTATATGATCATGCAACTACTTCGTATATTTTTACTGGACCTAAGTGCCTCAACTCCGCGTTTTTTATTATTCTTAAATACTCTAGTTCTCATATTTTTTTCCGATCAAATTTTCTCTACTAGTTTTATTTTTTAAAAGACATATTCCTAAACTCCGTCTAAAATATCCATCAATAGATTGTCAATAAATAGATAGATTTTTTTTTTATCCTTAGATTAACGTAGATAATTGTAATTGAACTGTAAATCATGGTTTTTTGGACACTAGTCGCTGATGGATAAATTTTGTGAAAAAATAACACATTTCATGCATATGCAATATGTTTGTGAGTTGTAACTTAATACATTCTTGGGATTAAAGTACACAGAATAAGTAGAGGGAAGAGAGTTAAGGTACTGAGGTCGTAGTTTTAGGGCCGCGTCCAAAGAAAGAACTTCCTTCACAAGCTGAACGATGCAGAATCTACCACCAACTAAGAATACGAGCGGTATGAATTAAATTTTATTGTTATATTAATTGTAAATACAATGAATTAAATATGGTATTTACTTAAGTGTATTTGAATGTAGTAAGGACAAAAATAAATCTAAAACGCAACAGCATGCCGTAACCTTTTATTAATTGTAAAGTAGACTATGAAATATTAAAATACCATGGAATATATAGAATAGAATTATGAAAATGACTTATAAATCGAATCGAAATCTGAAAAAAAATTAAATAATTATTTTTCATCAAAAAGGCCTTTTTATTTGTGGTATTTTAAACCTTAATTTGTCATCGATTGAATGTAGAAATTACATCCAAATCCCACTTTTAATGACTAATCATTATACAATAATCCATAATAATACGATTAAATAATCGTTAATCGTAAAATTATTCATCAAAACCATAAATGCTACTACTGTTCATAAACTATTGTATGGCATTTCTTTTCTTTTTTTTTTGTAATCTTCATTATTACAGTTTAATGGTAATATAGCCCTTTTAAATTACATATATTTATTTTTATAATAAATATGAACCATAAAACTATTTACCTCTTTTTCATTTACTTGTTAAAATGGATATTATAATTATTTATAGCCAGTATATTACTAAAGAGATTATTACATAAGTAGAAATGAGTACATACAGCTGTATCGTAGATATCAAAGTCTATATTTATATCGGTATGATATTATGCCTTCCACTAGCGGATCCAGGATTTAATTTTGGGGGGGCTTCAGCCCGAAAGCTTTTTTTTTCATAAAAATAACGATAATTACTTTGGAAAATACGAAAGAAACTAAATACCTATACGAACTGGTGTTTAAGTGATTCCTAAAGCCCTTTTAAATGTAATTACACGAATAATTATACTTTAAGAGATAATTTTTTAGTATTTTTTCCGATAAAACATGCTTATATTTTACCATTTTGGGGGGGGGCTTCAGCCCGAAAGCCCCCCCGTAGATCCGCCCGTGATGGCTTCGATATATTACCGATAAGTTCAAATCGAAAAAGCATTGGAAATAAAACATATGTTCTCCAATAATGAACTCCAGAAATAATACGTTGATAACAAAAATAATAATAATAACATATGATTAAAACTGTTGGCTAGTCTATTTGGTTTAACGTTTGGAATACATAAATAATTAGGAGATCCCCAAAAAAATCACGGAGGTCCCCTTATAAGTGGATCCCCAAGCGGGTTTATTTTTGAGAACCCGCTACAAAAAAAAAAAAAAAAAATAGCCTGCTAATTAAGCATATTAATTATATAAGGTACTCCCGTAAACAAGTAAATAAAAAATATATGTCTATTATTTCATGTTCTGTGTTTTGGCTGGTCAACAAATTGTTCTTGTTCAGTTAAAGTGTACAAATGAAGGTGTTAATGTAAGACTTAACATATCTGTGTACTCCAACTTGCAAATGAAAAGGAAACCAACCTTTTCTTGCCAAATTGGCAAGGTCAAAATTTTGCGGATTTTATATATTTATGTTTTATTGAATTATAATATAATTTGCCACATTGAATGGCAATAAGTATTTGTACAGCTTTTTTATTTACTTTTTTTTTTTTAATTTAGTTAAGTTGTCCTGGAAAAAAACATTAAAGGTTTTTAATCACATTAAGTCTGACTCTAGTAAATTATTTGAGCTGAAGTTTTAGAAAATCATTTTTAAATAAAGTAACGACAAAAAAAAATATAATTAAAAAATCATAATAAAAATGAAAAAATATAAATCCCTCTCTAAAAACTTTATTAACATTTCCTGATTTACGACACAATGTACAAAAACATTCTTCACTTTACACTTACGACTTCAAAAATATATTTGATGTCATTCTTAATGCATTTTTTCATTCTGAATAGAATGAAACTAAAATCAAATCGATATGTTTTCGTAGTTTCGGTATTGTACTTTAAATGTTGGGTGCTTTTGAATAAAATTAAATCTAATAATTCAAGTCAGAAATGAAATCTAATAGAATAAAAGTTTATATATATATATATATATATATATATATATATATATATATAGACTTATATTAATTACAAAACAGATGATTATATATATATATATAGAGAGAGAGAGAGAGAGAGAGAGAGAGAGAGAGAGTGTCTCAGTTCTTAATGGCCAAACTCTAGGAGGGAGGGGGAAGGTGATTCTAAACAAAATTTCCAATAAAAAAGTTCATTCGATGCATGGACCGATTCCGAACGGAAGAAGAGCTAAGACCAATTTTGTAGTTTTCTTAAGGTGGTCACGTTTTTTATTGAATAAGAAGGAATTGCTCAAAAACTGTTCAAGATAACTAAATTCTAAGTATACCATCGTAAAGTGTACAAAATGTTTTAGAGAAAATAGTAATTCAAGTTTCTAAGGTCAATGATAAAAGGGACTTTCAGGAAGTCTAATACGGAAGGTGTACTGAGGTACGCTGCTCTTGTTAGGGTACTGTTACTGCAGCTTTACACCGGCCAAATCAGACCTCCTGAAAGTCCCTTTTATTGTTGACCTCACGGGCGGATCTACGGGGGGGGCTTTCGGGCTGAAGCCCCCCCCCCTCCCTCCCAAATGGTAAAATATAACCATGTTGTATCGAAAAAAATATGAAAAAATTTTTCTCTTAAAGTTTAATTATTCGTGTAATTACATTTAAAAGGGCTTTAGGAATCACTTAAACACCAGTTCATCTAGGTAGTTAGTTTCTTTCTTATTTTCTAAAGCAATTATCCTTATTTTTATGAAAAAAAAGCTTTCGGGCTGAAGCTCCCCCCCCCCAAAATTAAATCCTGGATCCGCTAGTGGTTGACCTTACTAAATTTAAACATTGTTATATGAAAAAAAATTGGTCTACTTTACGATTGTGTACTTAGAATTTATTGCTCTTAAACAGTTTTTAAGGAATTCCTTCTTATTCAATAAAACCGTGACTGCCTTAAGAAAAACACAACAATGGTCTTAACTCCGTTTCCGTACGGAATCGGCCCATGCATCAAATTATCTTTTTGTTAAAAATTTGTCTACAATCACTCTCCAAAGTCCAAAGTTTGACTATTAAGAATTGAGACCCTCTGTATACAACACTGTAAATATATATATATATATATATATATATATATATATATATATATATATATATATATATATATATATATATATATATATAGAGAGAGAGAGAGAGAGAGAGAGAGAGAGAGAGAGAGAGAGAGAGAGAATTCTATCCTACTCAGATAAACTGTGGAAAAAACAAATTTTTTTAATTAATCATATTATAAAATATATCTCTTTATTACAAAAATATGTTTTTGTTTTTTTTATGTGTGTGTGTTTTTTGCCTTGTCATTAGTCTAGAGAACATTACGGGTTTATAAAAATCCTTACATAACACCTTGTGAGAAATTTCCAACTCATGATGATACACACATATCACATCACTATTACCGGCAATTCATTCTAGCAAATCTTATCTCGTTTGTATAAACTTGATCAAAGTGCAAATGTCTAGGCTAATCTAATAATAATATGTATCTAATAATAATATAGCTTTAATCTAGGCGCAAAGGTCACCTATTTATTCAATCTGCTAACCGTTTCATTGAAAGCGTAAAACGAAATTGTTCCAACTTTCAGATGATGATATATCTGTTCCCCGGATGTAAACAGCAGCATCAAATTTTTAATTAAATAATTTACTATCGAAGAAAATAATTTTAATAGCTTAAAGCTAAGGAAAATCGGCCCCCTAAACAAATTTAAAAATGTGACATGGTGTCCTTTACCTCTGGGGTAAAGATTTAGTAAATAAGAAACAAATTTTAATAGATCAAAGTTAGGAAAAATTGGCTTCTCTGAAGAAATACAAAGAATGGGCATGGTGCCCATCCTAGCAATTAATTGACAGTAGTACGTTTTGAAATTCGTTACCGAGGGCAGCAAGTCAGGATAGTATTAGGTTTTGTATGTTCACTTCTATCTGCACTATTTCTTATTTGTTCTGTGCCTCAACAATAAAAATCAAAGAACTGTTAGTCTATTCCAAAATTAATTTTTTCATATCTTATTGTTCCATAAACAGGACATTTTATTGACGAAAGCAATCATTCCTCTCATAGTAGGAGTTGAAAATATTTATTCAAATTAATTTTAAATGGTGTTCATTTTTAATGAAATTGCTCTTTCATTTTAAGAGTGGAGAAACTGTTTATTAGGGAAGTAGGAAGACTGTAGAATAATGCTTTAGACCACACGATAAAAATGAAAACATCAACAAAGCGAGATTAATATGAATTATAAATTGTAAATAATAGCTTATTATAAATAAAGAGGATGAAATGCTGAAAATTTCTCTCGCTAACAGAATGTGCTCGTCCGATTGCTAGTTTCAGAGATATTTTAATCCATATGTTTAACAAAATTCGTTATCATTTGGTTTTCGACACCATACTTTTTCGTCTCTGCCTCTATAACATGGAATCGCATTAAGACACAATTTTGAGTAACAGCTCATTACAAAGAAGATAAAATTATGAAAAAGTCCCTCGCTTACAGTATGCAGGTCCGAATTTTAGTTTCTGAGATATTTTAATCCAAACGTAAAAACACTTTAAAAATCACTGTTTTGCTTTAGCCCAGTCGAATTAGCACAAAAAAGGGGTCTAGCTTACAAAAGAGCGGGTAATTCAAATTTCTTTGTCATATTATTAGTTATGCTGCGACTATAAATAATCCAAGTTTCTGACCTTGAAAGCCTTATGGATTCCCTGCAGTACTCCAAAAAACATCGAAATTTCGAACTTTTTTTGGTTTATGCTAAAGATCTGTTTTTTAAAGCGATAAAAAATAGATAAAAAATGGTTGTATTCAATCTTAAACAGCTTTAAATGATTTAACATTTTTGTACATAACATGTTTTTTTAAACCCAACATGAAGCGAACTATCGAGCTTCCAAAAAAGGTAGGTTTAAAAAAAAAATTGACAATTAAATTATTGTATTAATATTTGTTCGTCGATACAACCATTGTAGTACTATAACTATGCCATATATGAGTACTGAATGATGTGGCAGAGGTTTGTAGGCTTCTACGCCAGTACCGCTTTTCCGCCGTTGAAGTGCATTTTCTACAGTACCGCTTCAAATATTTTAAAAAGTAATTAGTGCTTAACAAATAAAAATGTTTTCTCCAGATGTTTTTTTAGGGCATTTTTTGTTATTGTTGGCCGTTTATTTACAAAATACGCTTGATTTTCGGCTTTAGTTTGAACGACTTAAAAAACTTGAATTTACTGGTGTGTTTTATTGCTAAGACCAATTATTAATTAATATTTTTTCATGTTTAATAATCCACTGACTGTTTAGCTTTGATAAAAGGCCAATTATGGAGAAATTAAGCTAAATGCTGAATTTTAGTGACCGTGAACTAACTCAAGTCAAAGAAATCAATCTGCTATGTTTGAACGCCATTTTGGGACGGTGCGGCCACTTTTTTTTGTTGGTTTTTTTTTAAGTAAATAGAAAGAACACAACTATATGCAATTTATTGGGATGTGGAGAGAAGGTCCACAGGTTGGGGGTTCTGGCCCACCGTGTAACATACTTTTCAAAAACACTTCCCGACTACCGTGTACCTTTTCAGTCAATGGCTCATTATCTTCAAGGGAAACCTCCAAATTCTCTGAAGGAGGTTCAAAATGGAGTTACAGGTTTCTTCCATTTAAAGCTGAATGAGCACTATTGTGAAGAAATCGAAATGAGTAAATTTTGAACTACCAGTGATTAGTTTCCCAACATGCGTTTTCATGTGATTATATTTCTGTGTACACATTAGCTTGATGTATTTATTGAATATGTAATAGTTGACCGTTGCATTATAAAGGAAGGAGATGGTCCGGGGTGGCGGTCATAAATAGATTGAATAGTGGCAAAATCATTTTATTAAAAGACAACGTTTCGACCCGACTTTGCAGGTCTTCTTCAGGGCTTGAGCGGACAAAATACAAAAAATATATAGAGAATTGTGGAAGTCACATAATATTTAGACAAAACATTATAAAACAATGTGAATAAAGTTATTAAAATTATAAAGAGTAAGTACATTAAAATATAAACAGAGTAATGTAAGTAACAAGTTCCTAAACTGAAGTAAATAGATAGTAACAATTATTGTAGTATGATATATAATAAGATGTGTGCAATTGTGAATATACTCCTACTGATGTACAGAAGAGATTGAAAGAAAAAGGAAAAAGGATATAATATGAAATAATGGACATAAAGGGATGTGGAGTAAGAAAAGAAAAAGAAAACCAACAAATAAATAAAATTTCATTTATTTTATTAAGAAAAAAGAAAACAAAAAAATAAAAATAAGTAAATAAGTAAAAATTGTATTTACTTATTTTTTGGTTTTCTTTTTTCTTTTCTTTCTCCACATCCCTTTATGTCCATTATTTCGTATTATATCATTTTTCCTTTTCTTCCAACCTCTCCTTTAGAGATCTGTAGAAGTATATTCACAATTGCATATATTTTATTATATATCATACTACATCAATTGTTACCACCTATTTACTTCAGTTTGGGATCCTGTTACTTAGATTACTCTGTTTATATCTTAATGTACTTAATGTTGTCCGTTCTAGCCTTGTCCTTCTAGTTGAAGAAGACCTGCAAAGTCGGGTCGAAACGTTGGCCTTTAATAAAATAGTTTTGTCACTGTCTATTTATGACTTCCACCCCGGACCACCTCCTTCCTTAATAATGCAATGGTCAACTATTAAATATCCCCATCCCCACATATCTCCACATATATTATTACAGTAACGCTCGAAATCGGTTTTGTACCAAATATAAGCTCCTGTCATGCTCAAATACCATGAATGGGGTACCGTTGGATTCAGAATTTCACGGGGGGTTAGCGAATCGTATTCTCCACTTTAGATTTTTTTTTCTAAAATAAATAAAGTCGATACAAACATTCTGCTACGCTTCAATACTGGAACGGCGGTAGGTCTGTAGATTGATTGAACAAATTGGATCTTGAAGATTTTTATGCGTACAGCAAGACCAGAATGGTTCCTCCGGAACTATCGTGTCCTGCGTTTTTAAGCCCAAAAACGTACTATTTTTGATATAGACAAGGCATAGGGTTCGCATCGACACAGCCTTACATTAATTGTAGTACTGTCATTGAATACATGCTTCATTTCGTCGACTTGAGGTCTCCATGATCGAGAGAGGAGGAGTTTATATTATTTATCGATGGTGTTTTTGATTGGCAAGCCATATCATCGTTAATTTTTCACCAAATCTCAAGATTGAGCCACCAATTTCGAAGGCTTCCTTCTCCTTCAGGCGGGCAAAATAGTCCAATCACCCAGAAAATTCAGGCAAACAAGTTATGAAAGAAAACAAACTTTATTTGCGAATAACTAAAAAATTACACACTTTTTCCTTGGTTATACCCATGATTATATAAAAGATTACTAAATTTCCTACAAAAGGAAAAAAAAATCATCGAAATCGGACAATTTTTAGCAAAGATACAGCTTACTGAAATTTGTAAACATGTTGGTTCCAAACAAAAATGAAGATTTAAATTAATTTTTGTTTCCTTTGTCGATTATATTTATCGATAAAGTAACATTTGATGTCTTTACCTTTTGATACGTTGCATTATTTTATTTTATTATTAATTTGGCATTTGATAACAATATGTTGTGCGAATTTTTCGCACGGGTCTACTAGTTCAATATTAATTCTTTAAACTCTATTAAGTTAAACGACCTGTAATGTTAAATATTGTATTCAACAAATCAAAATTGAATTGTTTTAAATAAAATATTTTAATTGTATTTTTATATGAATTTAATACAATTTATTTTAATATTTCAGACGAAATAGAAGATTCTGCTAGTTCAGGTAAATTAAACATAAGTTTATTGTGTTTATTTTAATTCTTTTCTATTTTGTGCTAATACATTTTTTTTCATTATTATTTCAGAGCATTCCATTGAACAGACCGGAGGTAGACTTTTTATTTTAATTTTATTTTAAAGTATTTGCGCGAGGTTGTGTTTATTTTAATGAAGTTAAACTGTTTTAGGTCATCCCAAAAAAGAAAACGGTGATACGGCGGCGAATCTGGGTAAAATAAATATGACTTTTAAAAATTATTTATAAAAAGTTAGAATTCGTGCTTGAAAGAAAAGTACAAATTTAGAGAGGGTGGCGGCTAACGCTGTTGCTTTCTTTGTCTGTCTCTTAGAGCACTTTGTAAATATAAACCATTTCGTTTATCATACAATTACTATACACTAGAAAACAAGTACGACATTGATACTTGATATTCAGTTCAATGAAAAGTAGAAGAGATAATATTTGATCGCCATTCGGGAAATAAATAATGTTTAATTGGAAGACTAAATTTAAAAACAAAATCAGAGAAGACTATTATAGTGTCTGCTAATGCTGAGACTTTTTTTTTTTTTTTTTTCCTCCTCCACCAGCTTCCTCCAGTCATCTCAGTTCTGTGGTGCCATCATCCAGCTCCTGACTCCCAGGACATCGCTTGAGTCTCTTGCCACACCATCTGGCCATCTTAGTTTTTGTCTCCCAATTTTTGTAGGTCCGTAGTGAGATTCTGTCAGGATCATGTTAGAAATTGATTCATTCTCGATCCTACCCACTTTACCAGCCCATCTCATTCTTCTAAGATCCATCCTCAGAATGACATCTTGATCATTAAAAATCGAATAAATTTCGGCGTTTCTCCAATTTCCATCGATCTATACTCCTCCAAATATTCTTCGAAAAATTTCCCTCTCAAAGATACATCCATGTTTCTGATGCATATAGCAGTACTGGTTTGATTAATGTTTTGTAGAGATGTAGCTCGTTCTTCCGGGATAGAAGGCGAGAGGTGAATTCATTACGAAGGGCAAAGTAACACTTGTTAACTATCAATATTATTTTCTTGACCTCGACCTCGGGTGCATCTTATTGTGTTACCAGTGATCCCAAATATTTGAACTGCTCTACTTTCTCAAATTTAAAGGAGCTAATATTGATGTTCTAGGCAGATAGAGGTACCTCTTCTGTGGCCATATATTTAGTTTTGCTTTCATTCACTTCCAACACAAGTGCTCTGGCGGCCTCTAATAAAGCTAAAAATCCCTCTCTAACAGACTCTAACGATAGTCCCACGATGTCCACATCATCCAGATAGGCTAACAGCTGAACCATCCGATTGTAAATAGTCCCATCAGTTTGCAGACCAGAAATCCTCACTGCCTTCTCAAGTGTCAAGTTAAGCATAAGGGTTTCTAAAGCATCACCTTTATTTTTATTCTTCTATTGATTTAATACATTTTGAATTTATTGGATAAGAAATTGCTAAATATCTGGGTAGTTATAACAAAAAGCTGAATATAAATTTTAATCATATTTTTTCATGTTAATGTTGATATAATCTTATCATTCTAGGGAGTAAAAAAACAAAACCGGAAGATTCACCTACTAATTCAGGTAAATAATTTCAGAAAGTTTTATATTGTCATTTTTTTTTTTTTTATTTATTTAGAAATATAATAATCTGTCGGGTGGACAATAATTATAGTGAGATATGAACACATTCACAACATATATACAGAAAACATAAAATTAAAATAATAACTAAATAATAGTCAAAAACTATGTACAATAAAAAACAAAATAACCAAAAGATAAGTGAATTAAAAACAAAAAAAACAGTCATACCTACATACAATATGTACAGGGTGGGCCAAACCCCCTTACCGTGCACCCTCCCCCCCCCCCACATCCCTATAAATTGCATATCGTTGTGTTCCTTGTAACAATTTATTAAAAAAAAGCCAATGTTCCCACAAAAAAAAGTGAACGCACTGCCCCAAAATGGCGTCCAAAGATGGCGGATTGACGACTTTGACTTTAGTTAGTTTTTTGGTCACTGAGAATCAGTATTTGGCTTAATTTCCTCATAGTTGGTCTTTTATTAAAGCTGAATAGTCATAGAATAATAAAACATGAAGAAATATAAAAAAATAATTGGCTTAGGCTATGAAAAACACCAGTAAAGTCAACTTTATTAACAAAAAAATTTTCAAGTTACAAATCAAGCGTTGTTTGTAATTAAACGGCCTACAATAACGCAAAACGTGCTGAAATAAATTATCTGGAGAATATATTTCTCTTTCTAAAACGCTGATTACTTTTTAAAATATTTGCATATTTTATATATTTATTTATTTTATATATATATATATTTGCAACTGTGCGAAGCAGTTGGGTTTCGCCCTTTCCATCTTTCTTTGTGCAGAGAGAATAATGCATTGAAATATTAAAATTTCCTATTTTTTTATATGGTACAAATTCCGAACAATTTATTAGGAAATTTCTGAACAATAACGAGCTATGACTAATATAAGATTCCTTAAAAAATCTCTATCAAATGCATCAAACAGGAGGAGAGCTATGAGCGATAACTTTCTCGATATAACTCTCTATATCCTACTTCAAAGTGTAGATAGTCCAAGTGTACACCTTCAGTAGCAATCGAAAATAAAGTGGTTTTCACCATAATAAACCTACATCGTCCACTTAATATCATCCAACCTGCAATTGACCCCCTTTTAGCAGCATCTTGAAATATTCTGTTCATCTGTCTACTATAGATTCATTTAGCTATATAATGGATACTGGTCCATTTCATCTTTTCCGAGGTTTTGGCACTTCCTTTCTCGTTCGCTTAATGTATTTTTCCAATTTTCTGGTTCAATTTCGCGTTTTTCCTCAATTTGAGATCAAAAACAAACAATCAGTTCTGGTTTATAGAAGAACTTATAGCGTCACCCTTTCTATCTTTCTTTGTGCAGAGAGAATAATTCATTTAATATTAAAATTTCCTATTTATTTATGATATAGTCCAACTTCCGCACAAAATAAAGGAAATAAAAATTAATTTTTTAATTAGTGATATATGAGTTTTACTAAACAACCCGCCAGCTATTCATTATATATAGTTCAGATTAGGTATATATTATTTTAGTTTATAAAACAGGTATTAATATGACTCATTTCCTGGGAAGTATATAAAAATTTTAATTACCTCTAAAATTCAGTAAATATACCAAACTCAGTGTTAAATTGCAAACGTTAAATAAAAAAAAAATCAACATATTTAGCAAAGTATTTTTTAATTAAGTTTTATTATTACAATTATATCATTTTTACAATTGAGGTCTTCTTGAACGACCTATGTATAGAATAAAGAAGGTTAAATTAAAAAAAAATAATAATAATTTTTTTTTTTTTACAGTTAAATTATTGCATTAATATTTGTTCGTTAATAAAGCCAATATAATGTACCAAAAATGTTATTATATCACTGTAACTAAGCCATTTATGTGTACTGAATGGTGTGGTAGAGGCCAGTAGGCACCCACGCCAGTACCGCTTTTCTGCCGCATAAGTGTATTTTCCACGGAACTGCTTCAAATATTTTAAAAAGTAATCAGCGTTTTAGAAAGAGAAATATATTCTCCAGATGGTTTATTTCAGCACGTTTTGCGTTATTGTAGGCCGTTTAATTACAAACAACGCTTGATTTGTAACTTGAAAATTTTTTTGTTAATAAAGTTGACTTTACTGGTGTTTTTCATAGCCTAAGCCAATTATTTTTTTATATTTCTTCATGTTTTATTATTCTATGACTATTCAGCTTTAATAAAAGACCAACTATGAGGAAATTAAGCCAAATGCTGATTCTCAGTGACCAAAAAACTAACTAAAGTCAAAGTCGTCAATCCGCCATCTTTGGACGCCATTTTGGGGCAGTGCGTTCACTTTTTTTGTGGGAACATTGGCTTTTTTTTAATAAATTGTTACAAGGAACACAACGATATTCAATTTATAGGGATGTGGGGGGGTGCACGGTGCACGGTAAGGGGGTCTGGCCCACAGACTAATATACCATCAGGCAGGGAACCCCAAGTTTGTCCCTCCAACTATAGAAGGAAAAGCAGGACTCCAAGATCCAAGTTTTATATTGTCTTTTTTTTTAATTTATTTATTTAGGAATATAATAATCTGTCACGTGGGCAATAATAATTTTTTTTTTCTTTTAGTAATTGAATAAATTTTTAATTTATTGTGGAAGAGATTTTTGAATACCTGGGTGGTAATAACAACAAGCTGAATGTGAATTTTAATCATATTTTTTCATGTTAATGTTTAAATAATCTTATCATTCTAGGGAGTAAAAAAACAAAACCGGAAGATTCACCTACTAATTCAGGTAAATAATTTCATAAAGTTTTATATTGTCTTTTTTTTAAATTTATTTATTTAGAAATATAATAATCTGTCATGTGGGCAATAATTATAGTGAGATATGAACACATTCACAACATATACAAATAGAAAACATAAAATTAACAAAATTAAAATAATAACTAAATAATAATCAAAAACTATGTACGATAAAAAATAAAATAACCAAAAGATAAGTGAATTAAAACAAAAAAACACAGTCATACCTACATACAATATATACAATCAGGCAGGGAACCCCAAGTTTATTCCTCCAACTATAGAAGGAAAAGCAGGACTCCAAGATCTTTTTTTTTCTTTTAGTAATTGAATACATTTTTAATTTATTGTGGAAGAGATTTTTGAATACCTGGATGGTTATAACAAGCTGAATATAAATTTTAATCATATTTTTCTAGGATGTAAAAAAATAAAACCGGAAGATTCACCTACTAATTCAGGTAAATAATTTCATAAAGTTTTATATTGTCTTTTTTGTTTATTCATTTATTTAGAAATATAATAATCTGTTATGTGGACAATAATAATTTTTTTTTCTTTTAGTAATTGAATAAATTTTTAATTTATTGTGGAAGAGATTTTTGAATACCTGGGTGGTTATAACAACAAGCTGAATGTAAATTTTAATCATATTTTTTCATTTTATGTTTAAATAATCTTATCATTCTAGGGAGTAAAAAAACAAAACCGGAAGATTCACCAACTAATTCAGGTAAATAATTTCATAAAGTTTTATATTTTTTTTTTTTTTTATTTATTTAGAAATATAATAATCTGTCATGTGGGCAATAATTATAGTGAGATATGAACACATTCACAACATATATATAGAAAACATAAAATTAATAAAATTAAAATAATAACTAAATAATGCTCAAAAACTATGGACAATAAAAAATAAAATAACCTTAAGATAAGTGAATTAAAAATATAAAAACACAGTCATACCTATTACAATATATACAATCAGGCAGGGAACCCCAAGTTTGTCCCTCCAACTATAGAAGGAAAAGCAGGACTCCAAGATCTTTTTTTTTCTTTTAGTAATTGAATACATTTTTAATTTATTGTGGAAGAGATTTTTGAATACCTGAGTGGTTATAATAACAAGCTGAATGTAAATTTTAATCATATTTTTTCATGTTTATGTTTAAATAATATTGTCATTCTAGGGTGTAAAAAAATAAAAACTGAAGATTCACCTACTAATTCAGGTAAATAATTTCAATTATTCCAAATACAAGCTTAATTTGGATATCTTACTGTTCCCTGTAAATATTTAAATATATGTATCGTTCTAGGTCATAAAAAAGTAAAAACCGAAGCTTCATCGACGGTAGTTGCAGGTAACTTCTTTTTTTTTTTTAAATATTAAAGTGCAGATCTTGACTGCAGTGCTGGCCTTAGACATTAGGTGCTTCCTGGTCCATTACGCCATCTCCTCAATAAAAATTAAATTTATTTCTTAAGCAGTTTTATATTGTCTTTTTTTTATTTATTTAGAAATATAATAATTTGTCACGTTGACAATAATTATAGTGAGATATGAACACATTCACACCATATATACAGAAAACATAAAATTAAAAAAAGTAAAATAATAATCACATAACAATCGAAAACAATGTTCAATAAAAAATAAAATAACCTAAAGATAAGTAAACTAAAAACATAAAAACACAGTCACATCTATATACAATACAATCAGGCAGCGAACCCCTAGCCAGGCTTGCCCCTTCAACTGTAGAAGGAAAAGCATGACTCCAAGAGATCCCTGTGCGACTCTCGGACCTGCGTCACTGGTGCTAAAGCCAGTGGAGATTGAGCGAGAGCGCTTCAGCCTTTATATTAAGTAAAATTTTAATTGTATTTCATTCAATAAGTCTTTCATTCGGTTATATTAATAGGCTTAAATTGATTAATTTCACACACTTTATATTTTTTTTTTAAATCTCAAGTGGTGGGTGCTCCCTTCAGACAAGACCCCCAGGACGTATGCCCATAGGCCAGATTGTCATGCCCTAAGGCCGGCACTGCTTGATTGTAACATTTTATATAAATGTTTTATATAAACAATTTCATCACTCTAGAAACAGAAGTCATCAAAACCGAAGTAGTAACAGCGGAAGTAGCAACGACCGAATTAGTAAAAACAGATTTAGTAGCAACAGAATTTGTAATACCCAAAGCTGTAATACCCAAAGCTGTAATACCCGAAGTTATAACACCCAGAGTTGTAATACCCGAAGTTGTAATAACCAGAGTTGTAATACCCAAAGTTGTAATAACCGAAGCTTCTTTTTATGATCAGCCAGGTAAATTATTTGAAATATTTCAAAGAAAATCGTAATGCATATCTTTATTATATTATTTTATATAAATGTTAATACAATTTTAACATTCTTAGATCCTGAAGAAGTAGGAGCCCAAGCTTCTGCAAAGCCAGGTAAATTAATTACTACTTAAAGTAAATATTTAATAATAATATTTTATTTTAATTGTAATAATATAATTAATGGTAATATTTTATTTGAACCTTCCATCTTCCTCCCGATAGTGTTCAATATTTTCAGATTAAAAAAAATCGTGTATAGTTTCTACTCTCTTGTACATCTCTTCGGGAAATATATTAACCCAGTATTTAACTTTATTGTGCATGTCTGAAATTTTAAAGATTAAATAATACAGATGAAAAAAATAATCTTACTGAAGACTACGAAGACTAATTTACCAGTGATGGTTTTTATAAACTTTCTTGAATGATTTGCAAAATGTTCTAAATTATTTCGAAGATTAATTTCAACTATAGTGATGTCAAAAATAACTAGAAAGGTGAATTTATGAAAAACAATTTTCATTACATCATAAGGCAATGCCAATGATATTAATTATCAACAAAAATGATTTAAAAAATGAATGCACTCAAATAATGAAATTTAGAGAGAAACACTTTATTTTCACAAAATATAAAAGATTGCTGCCCAATTATATTGGGTTGCTATATACACAGCATACTCTTCTGTCCTTAGGACAATATATGAACTTATATATAAATATACAGAAGTATTAGTTTATATTAGTAAAATAGATATATATACACTCTTTTTTTTTTTTTATCCTGTTTCCTTCCTTTTATTGTTCATGCTTTTTTTTATTTTTTTTTTTAACATTTCTCTCACTTCTCTCTCTTTATCTCTATTGTTTTCAGTTATTCATTAAATAAATAAATAAATACATAAATTAAAACTCTCGGGCTAGCCATGCACGTGGTGGTGAATGATTCCCAGGGAGTTGAGGACTATATTTTCAGCCAACCTCGCTACGTCCTTAATGTCGACACCTAGTTCCTGGAGGAAGCTCCTTATTCTTTTTGGGATAGTTCCGCGAGACCCAAACCAGAGGCCTCTCACCGTGGACTCTCTCTCTCCGAAGGTCTCACGGAATTTCTCTTTTAGGAAAGGGATACATTTATCGAACGTGTTCTTCTTTTCCCTTTCCACTTCACCCGCCTGATCGAGGTCATTGCTCTCAAAGCGGACAGTTGGATCCAAGATCAGCGCTGTCCTTCCTGTCTTGGGAAATGCGACGATATCCGCGTATCTCGTAGAGCCTTCACTATCGATTTAGTATACCTCGTCAAAGCAGGTGAATTTCCTTCCCCTAAGGAACCTCATCAACACGAACTTGACCCGGTTAATACTATATTAATCAAATTTCAATATTATTCCGATTCAAAAAGGTTCGGAGACAAATTTCATATCGCAGTTTATAGAAAAGTTTAGAAAATACATTTTAAGAATCTAACCAAAAAAAAATGCATTATATAAATTAAACTTTGTGTGAAATGAACGCAATTCCAATAGCAATTTTCGTATTTTAAGTGATCAATAGTTAATAATTGTTTTGGTTTTCATTAATTAAGAAGAAAATGGAGATTGCCCTGAAGACTGTGCTAGTCCAGGTAAATAAAAGATAAGTTAAATATTTATTTTAATTATTTAAATTTTGTGAAATAATAAAAATTCTCTTAATGTTTTAGAACAAGCAAGTAATCACCAAGAAAGTTCTACACAAACAGGTAGATTAATTTATAATTTAAGATAAAAACAAGTTTAGGATTAGTTTGGATTGACATATTTTACTTTTTTAAAATATTATATATATATAATTTTTTTTTTTTTTTAGTGAAAGAATTTTTAACTCAAGGTAAATCAAACTTCATGAAACCATTCATAAGTCGAGAATGTTAACAGGTTTTATTTACAGAGCTCGAGTTTTCTTTTTTTTTTTCTTTTGTTTTTTTTATTGAAGTATATAAATAAATATATAGAATTTAAATTTTAATCAATAAATAAAACTAATATGTGACGATTTTTAGGAGATGGCGGGGAAGAACCTCCAAGTCCAGGTAAATTAAATAATATTATTCAAAAATTTCATTTATTCATTTCAGATTTAATAACTATAGTATGAATATTTCTTCTTTTTTTTTTTTCTAACTTTGAAAGATTACGTTTTGTGTTCATTTTATTTATCACAGTAGTTAGCTAATTATTAGATGATGACTAAATTAAAATGTTAACTTTTTAAATCCAAAACAACCAATCACTATGTTAAGTGAGTAGACAGCCATTGAAATAAATAAGTGATTAAAATCACCAATATATACACAGTTTTCAACACAATTAAATAACTACTTATTAGCATCACAAATAATACAATCTATTTTAATATTTTAGTCGGTAAATCTGTTCAATTTTTATCCTGAAAGCTAATTTCGTTACTGATCATACGGTGAGTGGGGCAAGAGTTATCTTGAAAAGATCATTTTGACACCATTAGATATACAAAATCAGAAGATGGTTAATCATTCAATGGTTTCAAGCAGAAGAGTAGAATGATTCGGTACTATTCTATGTATTTTATGCTGTTTAACTAATTTATTTCGAACCATCTTCGTGAACATAGCAAAAGATCTGATGCGGTTCGCGCATAACACTTCTTTCACTTACTATCCTATGTAAAAAGTAAAAATCTGGTGTGTTCACTCACGCGACTTACCTACCTATTTCAGAAAATTTTTTTTATCTTTATATATGTAAACAAAAAAAGATGAATTAGATTTATTTTTCTGAAAATGTATGAAAGGAAAGATTTGAATACGATTTATTTGATTAACTAAAGAAATGTAAATCGGCTTAAGGTAAACCAGTGTAAAAAAAAAACAACAGATTTTCTTACTTTCACTTAGTTATATTTTTTCTCTCATTCCCCAATTTTTGACGACTGGCGAATGAACCCGTAATCTTACATTGGAATTTAAATAGCTGTAACTACGCTGATAGTTGTCCGAAATAAACGATTTTTATTTAGTTTTGTAGAGAATTTCATTAACTTAAAAAAATAACACACACATCCTAAACGGTGTGGAGCACCCAATTTGAGATCAGTAGTCAAAACCCTACAAAATAAAAAAGGAAGCAACAAAATCGGTTCACTTGTTCCAGAGAAAATCTTGGCACAGACAGGTCTGGCTAAAAATGTGTTTTTTAAACGCAGGGGGCTCAGGAACATATATACATGGTGGGCCAGACCCCCTTACCGTGCACCCCTCCCCCACATCCCTATAAATTGCATATCGTTGTGTTCCTTGTAACTATTTATTAAAAAAAAAAGCCAATGTTCCCAAAAAAAAAGTGAACACACTGCCAGTGAAAGTTATTAAACAGTAATGTATTTTAGGTTACATATCAATGAAATATTTTTATATTTCACTTCTTCTTGCAAACAAGTACAATGAAATAGTATTTTAAACAATGTCATTGCCTTGATGCGGTGGATTTTAATTTTTTTTTTTTTCAAATCTGAAAACATTTTTAAAAGTTTAGATTTAGTAAGAAAATTTCATTTAATTTCCTTGGAAACATGTGATTTACGTTAAATAATGTTAGTTTTCAGAAATTATTGTTTATATTTTTTTTCGTCACTCTATGTTACATTCAACAACTGTATTTATTAGATATTATTTTTTCTAAAATTCTCCGCTTTCGATATATTTACGATATGTATACGTTCCGACTATTATTTCCGGAGATTAATTTTCGACCTGGATAAGCATTTTTATTTTTTTCTCCTTTATTCAATTATCAAATTCTTTCAAAGGTTATATTTAGCCTTTTTCATAACTCCAAACAATGAGAGATATTTATATATTTAAAATTAACCAAATTAATTGTACTTTAGGACACTACCGGATCCAGGATTTAATTTTGGGGGGGGCTTCAGCCCGAAACCTTTTTTTTCATAAAAATAACGATAGTTACTTTGGAAAAACAGAAAGAAACTAACTACCTATATGAAATGGTGTTTAATTTATTCCTTAAGTACTTTTAAATGTAATTACACGAACAATAATACTTTAAGAGGTATTTTTAAAATTTTTTTCCCATAAATCATGGTTATATTTTTCCATTTTGGGGGGGCTTCAGCCCGAAAGCCCTCCCCCCTTCCCCCCTCCCCGTAGATCCGCCCGTGCTTTAGGAGAACATGTATATGAACATTTGACATTTATGCCTTGTAAAGTGACATCAATGTGGATAAGATCTCGCTTATATTAAAAAGAACTTAATAATACACTAATATACCGATATTAATTAAAATCGTTTTAGCCGTTATCGAGAAAATCGTAAAAATGTGTTTCTCCGTTGATATAAAGTAGGTGCCCTCTGTTATAGTAAAAATGTGTTATATCGATCATAAAAATGTGTTACAGACAATTTTGTGGGACTTGGTTGTTTGGAATCAGGAGACCTCAAAACGTGTATTTCCATTGAAAACTCAGATTCGAAAATTTTTAAGATCGCAATACTTGCCCTTACCATATATTAAAAAAGTAAAGTAAAAAAAATATAGAGTATGAGAGCCGCTGGTCAATAAAAAATACAAGAGACAGAATGAGAGAGGGGAGAATCTTTTTCTTATTTTGGGTATTTTTATTTCTTTAAGAATATGTATACTAATTTCAATGTAAATTTTAATTTACATATAGCCGTGATCCATCTAATTTGATATCAATTAATACTTCCTCGTTCCTCACTAGAGACCGTATATAATATAGCTATAAATACTATAGCCAGAGACCGGATTTTCATGTTATTGCCCATTTTGTTCGATAAAGCGTAGAAACTTCGAACCCAACAATCTATCCGTTTCACGATCTGTAGAATAATATAACATATTGAAAGTCCATTTTGCACGAAATTGCACGACGGTTTTTTTTTTTTTTTCATGATATTGCATATTTTACAATTTAAGGGCTAAATATCGATTTTAGCAGTATAAAGTAAAATACTTAACCCAAGTTTCTTTTATAACATGTACATAGGTATGTATGTAAATATTTATTTACATTTATTTTATATCATACTAGATTTAAGTTAACAACAGGGTTGTTCAACCCATGGACAGCATAAGGCCGGAAATAGTTTTTAAATTTCTTGTTCTCAATTTTTTTATTCAAAATAACATTTTCAAGTCATCATTCTTGGATAAAAAAATACTTTAGACTCGTATCGTTTGACGTAAGTAACAAAACTACTACCCAAGTACACAAATTTTATTGTATAAATAATTATATAATTGTGGTAAAATATTAAATAATTAAATATATTTAACAATGGGCGTAATAATTAAAAACAATATTTTTTAAAAGGTGTAATAATGAAAAATACTATTTTTTAAAAGGCGTAGTAATTAAAAATTATTAAAATTACGAGGGGCCTATGAATTTTAATAAAAGCTTTGGAGCATAACTCAAAATATACTTTTTTAAAATTTAAAATTGAATGACAACTGTTGTTCATCAAAATGAGATATAAATAAAAAAATGCACGTTTTTAAAAAATATATATCATTATTTTTGTGTAAACTGGTTTTCTTTCATACATATTTAGGTTAATCGTCGTTCATTTGAAATTAGAATTAGATTTTTCGCAGATTACTACATGTTATATCTAGCTCCAATTTAGAGGCTATAACTTTTAACATAAGAGTAAACAAACAAACATTCTTATTATAAATTAAACAAAAACTATGATTTTTGCAATTTATGTATACAATTTCATCCTTTTTGGGTTTTTACTGCACGATTTTGCACATATTAAATTTTTCGACTGCACGAAAATCCAGCCACAAAACAATCCGAACTCCCCGGATAGCCTAGAACGTGCTGGGTGATATCTTTGGTTCTCGATTCCATCTGATTAGTCTTTATTTCTCCTTTAGTTAATCATAAAATTTTCTCCTAATTTACATTTAAACGTTTTTACTAATTGTCACAATGTGAAACTGACAATTATTTAAAATACACAAAATTAAAGGTGCTTGTAGTAAAATGAAGAAACTTCGGTATTTAAGCTTTGTCAGATTTATTCAATGAGAATAATACTTATCATGTATTAAAGACCACTTGATTTTACATTAATTTTACGATTTTAATTAAAACCCTTAGAACGGATTTTGAGAAAACTGTAACAATTTGTAAAATTTATAATACAAAGTGATACTTACCATCAGTTATTTTTGACGAATAAGTTGCTATGACATCCTAGGCATATACATACTTTACATGTGCAATCTTTTCTACACGACTTTTCGATTAGAACTAGGCTGTTCACACACATACAACTTTGCCAAACTTGGTTATTTGGACTCAGACAAAGCATAACTCAGATTCGATTTTTTTTTCACGCTTGCAATATTTTCTCTTAATTCGATTAATATTTCATACATAGTTTAAGGGACAGTAGAAAATTATCAAAAATAAGTTTGTACTCACCCGTCTTGTTATTCATAAACTAAAATATGTTTGAGGTCAGCTACGGTTATATACTATGTTCAATTAAGATTAATCGGCACTGTATGGGGGGAAAACACATACACATTGTTAATATTTCAAGGATAAATGTATCATAACTAAGCAAACTAATTTAAAAACAATGATGGGCAAGTTTCAGTGAAATATCTGAATAATTTTATGTAACGAGACCGTTCAAGGAAGTTATTATTATTATCAGTGCTAAACAGATATGCAAATTATTATAATAAGAGGTAATATAAAATAATAATAACCAATCGGTCAGTAAAAATACTTCAGTTCAGAACCGAAAGAAAGATTCACGGCTATTAACGGTTGCTTCACGAATTCCTAATCTCTATATATATATTTTTTTTTTTTTGCTTCCCTGATTTGGCATATTAACTATGTTGTTTTTTTAAAGAGGGACCAATTTTTTGATATTAGTTTATTTTTTAAATATTAATTATATTAGTGGGTTAAAGATTATTATGAGAAAGAGGCTGCTCCATTATTTGTCTCTTTCTGCACACGGTATTATTTTCTAGGTCTTTTTTAATTTTTTAAAAATACTTTATTGAAACAAATAAGTTCAAATGACATGACACAAATATTAATCAAGTTCAAATTGACCCCTCTTCAAATTTTTTTTCCAAGATTTCCACATCACCTTTCAGGGGCCTTCTTTGGAGACTTATCTAGGATATTACAGACACTTAGATTAGTATTTCAGTTTCTGAATAAGTATGGAGGTTAAAACGAAATATTGAAAATAAAAATGTAAGAAAAATTAATCTATGAGATTTATGCAAATATAAATCAATTAAAACAGTTCTGTTACCTTTTAATCTACAATCTATTTCCTCAAAAGTGCTAAATGGTAAGACTTTGTGTTGTTCGTCGTCTGCTTTTTATATTGGATCGCATGCTCAAATCGGCTCATCGTCGTAACAAAAGTCGTGAAGCAACCGACGACCTCTTTTCCGACGAGCAACCGATGAGCACAGTAATTCTCTTTTATGATGCTTATAAAATAACAATCTTTATCCTTGGAAGCCACTTAGTGATTATCTCCACGATTCAGTTGCTTGTTAATCCTAAATCATGTTTGTATAGTTGTACTATCTATCACCTTGCAGCATACCACATCCAGTCAGGGATTGCCTATTCACAGAATTCTTTAACGTCAAACAGTCTTCTCCAAAAACTCTTGATTTAAAAAATGTTTGAATCTTACTCAAAATTAAATTTAAGTCTAGCTGAACTTGATTAATATTTGTGTCATATCACTTAAAATTATATGTTTCACTAAAGTATTTTTAAAAAGTTAAAAAAGACCTAGAAAATAATACCGTGTGCAGAAAGAGACAAATAATGGCGTACCCTCTTTCTCATAATAATCTTTAACGCACTAATATTTAAAAAATAAACTAATTCCACCAAATCGTCAGATGGATTTTTGTTTAAGTGAAAATTTCTTTAGGCACGTTTTGCACTTTTTTGTGGAGAGTGAATTAGATTGAGCCGTCAAATTTCCGATGTGTAACGCTCGGGTACAGTCGGCCGGAGTCAACAAACTAAAGTGTTTTTGCATATAGATTAAAATATGTCAAATTCTAAAAATTGGACCTGAATATTGTTAGCGAGGAAAATGTGCATCATTTCACCCTCTTTGTAAAGGCTATTATTCAAAATTTTATCTTAACGCGATGCCGTGTTAGAGAGGCGAAAAGGTAAAAAAGATAGTGTCTAAAACTTAATGATTACGAGTTTCATTGAAGATATGGATTAAAATATCTCAGAAACTAAAAATCGGACTTGCATACTATAAGCGAGGGCATTGTTTAGCATTTCATCCTTTATGTAATGGGCTATTATTTATAACTTATATTTCATATTATCAATATCGGCTTGTTGATGTTTTCACTTCTATCGCGTGGACTAAAGCACATTCCTTAATTAATTTTTAATATTACCATCCACAATCTCCTAATATTTATCTTCTTTTTTTTTTCATCGTAGGTCAATTATAACTAATATTATTTTTCCAGAAATGGAAAAACTAATGTTGGAAGCAGCCTTTGAAAGATGGGACCAAAAGCACAAAGTGCAGGGTGTCCTAAGCATAACCAAGGAGAAGGCAGTTCCAAAAGGAGAGAATTTCCTCTCTATTGTAACGAGGCTAACTGTAAAAGTAGTCCTAGGAAGTGGAAGGCAGGTTACCAAACGTTTCATACTGAAGGAATTTCCCAAGGATGAAATAACAAGGAGCATATGTAAAAATTCAGGGATCTTCAAGTTAGAAACAAACGTAATTGATAGTTTTTTAATAAACAATAATTCAATATTAATAAATTCTTTTTTAAATATATTTAAACATTAAAATACGAATTTAGAATTAGCGTTTCCTTTAAATGAATGGTCTTGAACATAGTGGTTGGATTAACCCTTATCAATAATTACAATAAAAATTATCTTAAATAGTGTTATTCAGACACTATTAATCCTCACTTCAATTAGTAATTAAGAAATCTTCATGAAGCAGTTGTTGCTAATTTCGCACATATTCCTTTAAGATTGTTCTTCTTTTATTAAATAGGAAAAATATTTCAAACTGTCTTCAGATTAAATCTTTTTTTTTTCTGTTGGCATTACAAACCATGTAGATCTTTTGCCGCTCCATCTCTGCCTGTCTTGGGCTATTTCTTTCAATTTATTTGCACGCAGCTCTAGCTATGCATTTGCTTTTTGGCCTTCCACTTTTTTTATTCTATTACGGCATTCATTGTTATGTAGAGGTTTCCAGATGAATTGGTACAAGCTACATGCCCAGCCCATCTTAACCTCCGAGCCTTCTTATCATGGGATATTGATTGACCAGTCTCTGTAAGCAGTTCTTTATTGGTCTTTCTTCTCCATGTGTTAGTACTCTGATCCCAGATCGCTCTGGTTATCGTGCGGAGGATTTTACTCTCAAATCTTTCAACACTTTTTTCTATGGTGCTGGTGTAATGAGTGTGTTTAGACTAAAAGGAAGGTTGAGTACGTTCCAAATAAATCAAACTATATATTTTCAACAATGTAAAACATCATGTGTTTTTTAAAAGTAATTTCAACTACATTAATAATTCAATAATAATCTATATTATATTATCCCCCCCCCCATCTTTCTGATCGCTGTCTTAAGTGATCACAGCATGGCATCGAATTAACTTTCCGCTCATTTCTACCTCATAAGAGAGAGGCCCTTTTTTTTAATCAGTGTATCTTTTGCCCATCCTTCTGTGTCCTTATGCTTTACCTAAACTTGCTCACTTTCTTCGAAAATGCGTTCTTGTCCCTTTTTATTGCGGTAGATTTTCTGTTTCAGCCTTCTTTCTTCCATCTTATCTCTTACGGATGGTTTTAAGCCATCCAATATGGAATGCAACCTTCTGCCAATGAATAGTTCTGCCGGCGTTTTACCTGTTGAGCGAGGCATTGTAGTTCAGTACTCAAACAGCTTCACTCGCAATCTTTCTTGAGTATCTGTATAAGTAATGTCGTTTCGGAATCGTTGTTTAAACGTTCTAATTTCAGGTTCCACCATCCCATTTGATCGACTATCTTAAAAAGTATTTTAATTCCTTTGAAGCAAATTGGCTTCCATTGTCACAAACAATTTGTTTACAAATCCCGTATCTTATAAATAGTGATTCTAATATGTGGATAGTTTAACTAGCTGTAACTGATTTCACTGGAAAATTTCTAGCCAACGAGAATAAGCATCGATAAGCACGAACCAGAATAATCGATAATCCTTCAAATGATCCTGTAAAATCTATATGAAGTCTTTCCCAAGGTCCTTCCTGAATGTTCCAAAGGTTCAAAATTGTTTCTGGTTTACTTGGATGATTTTTCTGACAAAGCTCACAACTTTTAATTAAATTTTCTATTTCGAAATTAATTTTAGGCCACCAAACAGTCAATTTTCCTAAATACTTAGTAGGCTCTATGCCAGGGTGTCATGGAGTTTTGCCAGGGTGAATGTGTTGTAATAACCAGATATTTTTTTTTGCTCTTCGCTTATTTCCATCTGTAAATATTTTCAACAATGTCATACACCACGTGTTCTTTTTAAATTAATTGCAACTATATTAATAATTCAATAATAATCCATATTACAGCTGTTTATTGTCCAGTTCTTATAGTTTTTTTTTTTTTTTTTTTTGCATTTGCATATATTTATCCGCACCTGTCAATTATAACTATTGACAATCAGCAGATGTGCTGGCACAGTCATGAGAAAAAAATAAAAATAAATAAATAAAATAAAATAAAAAGGCTTGATAGGCATGAGGAAAAGCAATACCCAGCGGCATCCCTTCCATGGCTTTTACTTACTTACATACAATTACGTAAGTAGGTCCCTCATCCAGACCCTTTTCAGTCGTCTTCTGGAGTTCTCCGGCATAGTAGTCGTGGCCATTTCTTTAATTAGCTGGTTGGAGTGTCCATGTAATTTATTATGAAATCGTTTGTAGTAAGTTCGTATGTGTTCATTGATCGATGGCATGTGTAAGTCAGTGTGTAAAGTGTTATTACTCATAGTATTTAGTTTTTCTTTTTAAATTAGGTATTAAACTTGTTATATATTTGTAATTTGGTCAGTATAGTAAATTAGATATTATTTAGTCAAAACCTGGGTTGATGGTAACTCGAACACGCTATAAAGAAATTAAATAAATAACAAGTAATGAAATTCATCCGAAAGTCAACATTCCCGCGTGTTAAATCCTCAATAACATCCGGGGTGATAGGTTGAGGCAAGGTCTGAAAACTGTTTTTAGAAGTTCAAACCTTTGTTAAGAATCGAGTATAAAAAAATACTGGCAAACCAACTCTTGATATAAAAAAGATGGTTTTTAATTTCTTCACATATTATCTCACATCAGAGCATTATTAATGTGATAATTGAGATAAAAACTACTGGACATGAAGGAGAAACGATATTAGTTTGTCACTAATTCAGTAAAACATCCATATTGTAACTTTTGTTTTTTCTCCCAATGGCTTATCGTAGCGTTAGATCGCCCCAGTGTGCGTTGGTCAGATTTTATTATTTGAGATCATCATGTAGTTTCTTATTAAATGGTCAGATGCTTTATATCGTTCATTATGCATGTTCCTTGACGTAACTCTTAATAAAACACTGTAAATATCTAAATAATTAAGGATATTTAAAATAATAATAATTTTTTTTTTTTATGAATTATAAATAATTAAAAATTCCATTTTCAGACATATAGGATAGCACTTAAAGAAATGGAATATCTGATGGCGGAATTTGGAGACACAGATGATGTACTTTGGTGCCAATTAATTAAATATGATCCTTTCTCCACTATACTTTTAGAAGATTTAACAGTAATAATCATTCTTCATTTTTATATAATTTAGTTTGAATAATGTAATCAGATTAATCATAAATCCAGATTATAATTTTTGAACTTCATTACAATAATGTAGTTAAAAAATTATCAAACTTTAAGTAGTGATCTGTCGACATCAGAATAAAAATTTCGATTTTTATTTATTCTAACATCTGGTGTTTTGACGTAAATATCTAGTTCCTGTGATGATTACCACATTCACACAGCTCCTGAATATGGTCGACATGATTAAAATAAAACGATGGCTCCCCTCTTCAACAAAAAACCATGTATCGCCAGTCATTTTTCGTGATCATTACTTTTAGTAAAATAACAGTTATTATTTAGAGAGTGTGCTTCTGGCAATCCAAAGCCAAATTTCTAAACATGCAACAATAGTGGATATTTTAGAACTCATTTGGATCAGTAAAAGGGCAGGAAACGTAATAGCTTTCATTTGGGCTCACTGTGGTATGCACGGAAACGAACAGGCAGACGTTGGATCCCGAATGGCTCGTACGCAAGTCAGCCATGAGATAAAATCAACCGATTATGTTCCTCGGGAGGACTGGGTGAGGCATGCGAAACTCCAAATAATCGCTCAATGGAACGAAAAATGGAGAAGGAACCGCTCCAAACTTGCTCTGGTTAATCACAATCGTGCAAAATGGCGTACGAGTAACAGGAGGTCTAGAAGAGAGGAAATTATCCTGTGCCGCCTCAGAATTGGTCACTGCGAATTTTCACATGGCTACCTACTCCACGGTCGAGAACCACCTACTTGCGTCAGGTGTGGTTCTCTTAGAACTGTGAACCACATACTCGTGGATTGCACACAATACGCAGATACCCGAAAGAATATAAACATGCATGAGACTATCCGGGACGTGTTGCAGGATGCGGAGGGAGAGTGCAAATCTTACTGGACTTCTTAAAAATTATTGGATTTTATAATAGAATATGAAAAGTGTGAGTGAATTGACGATTGCCAATGACCCTAGCGGGCAGAGGCATACAAAGAAATAAATAAATAAATATTTAGAAATCATATGTCATAAAAGAATAAATGTTTTATTGAAAAATAATATTAGACAATAGAAAATGGGTCAACATTGAGAATAACTTAGAAATAAATTAGATTATTATGTTGTGTTAGCTAAAAGTTGTATGTTGTATGTTGTAATGGCAGAAAATTTTCATCTTTTTGTACATTATAATTATTCTAAGGTGACTAAATGTCCCAGAATAAAATTTATTTTTCTTCCTTTCTTTCGATAACTATTTACTAATTTGTGATCAAAGAATGTTATTTAATTTTAAGAAGTTCTTTTTGAAGTGGAAACTTCATTAGACGCGTTCTGCACTTTTTTATGGAGAGTGAATTAGATTGATCCATCAGATTTCGTTCGGCATTAATGCTCGGGTAAAGTCAGCGAGAGTCGATTAATTAAAATATTTTTACAAATGGATTAAAATATATCAGAAACTATAAATCGGGCCTGCATACTGCTGTAAGCGATGGAAATGTTCAGCACTTCATCTTCTTTGTAATGAGTTATTATTTATAATTTATATTTCATATTATTAATCTCGCCTTGTTTATGTTTTCAGTTATATCATGTGGTCTACACACACCTTAGTTTTTATTGTTTAATATGAGATCCTCAATAAAACAAAACCTTTATGATTTATAATATCATCAGTACAATCGCAATAACTTATTAAATCATGTGCATTTGACAAATCTGTAACAGTTAAAAATGCGTGACAAAAAGTAATTGGCGATACTTAAGTAAAAATGGTCCTACGCTATTCATACCATCGACTGATCCCTTACAATAAATGGACATTATAATAAACTTATCTCGCTAGAATATGAGTCAATCATCAATGTCACATTTAAAATTTTTAAAGTTATTTTTGCATTAGATGCATATAGGATACTAATCTATCGATGTTTCAGGAATTAGCTGTGAATTCTTATAAATGATATGGTTTGTTTTTTAGGATTACGGTTTCAAAACTGTTAAAAGGCAGTCATGCCTTGACTATGACCATGGTATTCTTGCTATCAGAAATATTGCCAGATTTCATGCCATGGCCAAGGTACTTCAAGAAAGAGGTATTATCAATGCAACTGAAAATCTTCCTTATTCCCTCATAAGTCATCCAGGTACGGTGAAAAGTTTCTTTTACAAAGGATATGAAGCCGTCAGTAAAGGAATAAAAAAGTACTGGGGAAAAGAATGGTAAAGTAATTAATGAATAAATCTCTGACAGTAATTTTTGATTATATGATTTATTTTATAATAATTTATGATTATTATATAATTTATTAATAAAATTAATATAATTTTATTTATTTATTTTTTTTATTAATAAAAATATATAATTTATTAATTATTAATATTATTCTTTATTTGTTTCATGCATGAAATGGTTCTTTGTAATAGTTGGGGACGAAATTTTGTCGACCAAATATACCATTGATATATCTAGCTGAATCGATTTTAAGTTTGATGGCTCACATTATTCGGTGAGAACTCCAGAGTGTTTTGAAAGTGAAGCGACACAAGTGTTACGTATTTGGGTTGTCCGCTGTCATGGAACTAATAATGTTTATTAATTTAAATCACTTTTATTTATTGTTCAATAATTATTAATAACCTTAATAAGTTTCTATAGTGTGCTCTCCAAATCACCGCCGTCGACTGATTGTTCATTATTCACAAGTAATCAACAGATACACATAATTGGACGCTTAAAGATATGTAATGATTTTTTGAACGGACGGATGGATCAATTTGTAAGTTCAATAGCTCAAAATATTCATTGATCCCGAGAGTGTTTTTTAATAATTTCAGCCAAAAATTCTGACCCGTGATTGAATAAAATGTGTTTAATCGATTTGCTAAAAAATTTGTATCGATTTTTCGAGCGAACGGCTGAATAGATTTTTAATTTGCTGTATTATATATTATTCGGTGAGGTCCCGTGAGTGCTATTGTCCGTGGTACAGACCCCTTTATGTCAAATTATTAACGTCCGTCTGAAACTTCGTTAATAGCTTCATTTAATTGTTTTTTTTTTTGTTTTTTTTCCTAAGCCTAATTAACGCCTGCTTGATCAGCCATGTGTACTTTTGCAGTCCTGTCATCATATCCACTTTCTTCCAGCAATCCACTCCATCGCTACTCTTCAATTGTTTGCGCATATTTCTCCTTCAGTGGACTTTGAAGGGTCTGTTTTATTCTTCTTTTAGTCGAATCCATGCCCAGAGAAATATTTGGATGGATTATTCCAGAACCTATTCTGGCCAATTTGTCAGCTTCATCATTTACGTGGAGCCCGCAATGGCCTGGTATCCATTGGAAAGCGACTACTGACCCATTTTCCAGATGCAAATGGCATTTAAGGACGTTTGGATTCATACTATATCCATTTTGGAGAAATAATATAGATGCCTGTGAGTCAACAAAGAGATTCATTTAGTTGTAACCTACAAGTATTATATTTACGAAACCCCTTGGAATGGGGTGTTTTCAACCAGGAGATCGGAAAAGTTTGTCTATTTAATCAGGTACTAAAAACTCGTAAATAACCATTTTCTTTCCACTTGGATCGTAAGATAATTTAATCAGAAAATCGAGAAAAAAGGTAGCCTACAAAAAGATTGGGCCGTTTGGCCTACGCAACCTACTTATTTTGTTATTTTGGGGGTGCAGGTCACACCAAACGGCTCCATATTTTTTAAGGCCACCTTTTTTCTCGATTGTGTGCTCAAATTATCTTACGATTGAAGTGGAAAGCCAATGGATATTTACGAGCTTTTATTACCTAATTAAATAGACAAAGTTTGCCGATCTCCAGTTTCAAAACGCCCCAATTCTAAGAGTTTTCATAAATAAAATAGTTGTAGGTTACGATGAGACGAAGATATTTACGAACGTTTAGGAGGATTTCAATAATTTGATGAAAGGGGGAGACTATTAAGAAAGCGAAACGACACGAGGGTCGTCTGTTTGGTGAGTCTGCGAAAAGGAATGTAACGTTGTTTTGAACGAACGGTTGGGTTGATTTTTAAGTTTGATATCTTAAATTATTCGGTGAGATCTCGTGAGTATTTGTAAACAATTTTAGCTAAAATTACTGCCCTGCTATGAATTAAAATGTGTTAAATCAATTTGTAAAAAGTTTGTAACGCTGTTTTGAGCGAACTTTCAATATTTACTTTGCATTGCATTACTTATTATTGTGCATCCAGAAGTTATGTGGAATTCACTCCACTGATTTTTTGCATAGGCGGTATAAGTCATTGATATTGTCTCCACAAACAATCTTTCTATATGCCATTGTGGCTACTACACGATCTTGGATAGCCAGCAAGAATCATCGGTTTCTGGAAACATGTTGCCACTTTTATGCCATGTTAACGATTCCTGAGTATCTATTCCTGTCCCTGTTAGTGATTAAGAAAATCGCCCATGCAATAGTTTATCTTTCTATTTACAGGCAGTATAGCATTGTCTGCATTGATATTTGGGTTCCCAGGATTTAGTGAATTTAGAGCTGTGTAATTTGCATCTAGTGATGCCATAGGCGCAGACTCAATTTTGATTGAGAGAGCAAAGGAATAACATTTAAAAAAATCTGGTGGGCGCAAGACACAGCTTTCACTTACCGATCTACTTTGAATAGAAATTATTTTCTGGCAATGTTGGGCTATTATAGAATTTTTTTAAGTGCTTTTTAAACGGAGCTAAAGCTTAAAGCTTACAGATTACAAGTAATTAAGACCATTATAAATACAAAATGTCAATTTAATATATCGACGACAGGCAATAAAAATCTAGTCACTCCATCTGCTTTTATAAACCACACAACTTTCTTTTCTTTTATAAACCGCACAACTTTCTTTGCTTTTATAAACCACAGAATGATTAACTCCAATTTCAACATTTTTGAGTGATGCCATCTTAGTGATATTTTTAGTTGAAAAAATTATCTATCCAGACAATGAGTACGTTGATTTCGGAGGTGGTGATTGCAGCGTCGAAATATAGAACTGAGAATAAAGGTTTCAGGTATTTATTTCTTATGAAAGATGTTCTTAGGAAAGATACTTTATTAAATATCTGTAGGAAAAAGGTTTTTTTATTCTCAAAAATTAAAAAAGTATATTTTAAATTTATCCAAATTTTCGCCTCTTTAGGAAAAAAAACTAGAGGCGACCATAGAAAAAACCATATCTTTCCTCCTAATTGTCCGATTTTAACGATTTGTTTTTTAGGAAATTCCATAAACTTTTAAAAAACCATATACAATATCAACAAAAAAGCATATAATTTTTGAGTTATTCGGAATTTAATTTTAACATCCCTCGTAACTTTTTTTCCAGCTTCTTTTTGTTGAAGTATGTTATATAGATAAATTTAAAGGGTGTCGATGAAATGACTTTAGCGAAGTTTCATTGAAATTGATACATTCGATTAGGCGCTATAGTCTATAGCAACGCAGGTTTTTCTGCATTTTTATTATTTTTCTTAACTTATTATTATTTTTCTTAACTTATTATTATTAACTTATCAAATTCTTTCTAAGTTATATGTAGCATTTTTTTATAACTCTGAATAATGGGAAACAATGAACTTTTTAAAATAAACCATATTAAAGGTACTTTAGAGGAGACATATATGAACATTGTGCATTTAACACTGTAAAGTTAAATCAACGGGGATAAGACTTAAATGATATTAAAGACCACTTAATTATACAATGATAAACCAAGTTTAATCAAAATCGTTAGAGCTGGTTTTGAGAAAACTGTAAAAATGTGTTTCAGCGTTCATATAAAGTGACACTTCCGGTTAGCCGATTTTAACAAAAAAGTTGCTGCCACATCCGGCCTATATACAAACCTTAAATACTTAATATCATTTTCGTACTACTTTTCATTTATGAGCTAGACTGTAAACACACACACACACACACACACACACAGACCATTTTGCGACACTTGGTTATTTGAACTCAGGGGACCTCAAAACATGTATTTCCGTTGAAAACTGAGATTCGAAAATTTTCACGATCGCAATACTTACCCTTCTATATATTACATATACACGTAAGTGAAAGTAAAAATTTATAAAGTCTAATTTCTTAAATTTTATTTGGTCCATTTATGATACCTAAATATATAAATGGTCCATTTATGATAAAAATTTATATAATAATATAAATATAAATACTAAACAATATTTTTATTGGAGAATATTATACTGAATTTCATTGATGATTTTAGTGAATAGATAATGATGACCACATTTAAAATTAATTATATTCATGCATTGTCCATAGGGCTGAAATTGCTGAAAAGCTGAGGTTACCATTGAAATACTTAGAAGAAAAGATGTTGGATATCGGGAAATTGGTTGAAAACCGATTTTATGTCTTGAATCATGGTGACTGTTGGTCAAATAATTTAATGTTCAAATATGATTGGAAAAATAAACCCATCGCTGTAAGGTAAATGCAGATCAATGCAACAATGTTTAGTAATATTTTAAAGGCCACGAGGTTTATAACCATCTGCCAATGTTTATAACCTTAACACTGATAGGCTCTTCGTATTCATATTTATTGTATTATATTCATATTATTATATCTTCGTATTCATATTTAATTTATTGTCTTGATATTATTGAAATTTTAAACAAAAACAAAAGTAATAATAAAAAAATACTTTTATTTTATAACATACACGTTAAAATAGGCCAAATCACTATAAATATATAATTAAAAACATTGCTGCACAACGAAGACATCGTTATTGCTTTCCTATCGTTTATTTCGGCGATAAAACACTCTTTACAACTTTGCTAGGCCTTCCATTTTCGTTATTCGGCCTGTATAACATGTCATGGGCACAAACTTCTGTTAAAAATTTGCAAATGGGCACAAACTACAAATAACCACATTCCTTTCCTTGTAGTAACGGTTTTGTTACAACTACAAAAGCATCTCCATTTAATCTTCCCGTCGAGCTTGATGACCTCCACCACAATATGTGACCTTTGCAAATATCCCGGCGTCTTGAAAATATTCTATAGCCTCTTCTTCTAAAGACGGCAATTCCCACAATGTGACAATATCCATAATTAAATCACTATTAAAACACCATAAACTAACTCACAGCTAACACGAGAAACCAAAAATAAACAACGGAATAACTTAGGTTAGATGAGATAAGGGAGGATATGTGAAATGAGATTAGATAAGAAGGGAGGTTTTGACGCTACCCGCTATTAAATAAGTACCGACCAGGATAACATAATGGGTCTTCACTGACCCAAAACAGACATAAAATGAATAAAATTGATTGTTGTTCCTTTTAGAAATTTAAATCACCTCTTTTTTATATTTTATTTCTGATTGAATCATTAAATTAACTTGATTCCTTTATGTGCAATTGACATACTTGATTTCTGGAAAATATGTAAATAACTTAAGTAAAAATTTAATTTTAATAAGTATATCTAATGTTTAATACTATTTTATAAGATTTTAAGACTTATATAAACACCTTCCTAGAGTAGCTTAACTTCTCATCACTTGGTATCTTAAAATCACCGATTATGCTTCCTTTTTTCATTACAAGCTCTTATGTTGCCATTTTCATTTACTTCCAAAACTTTTAATCCTAGAAGTGCTTATCCAGTTAGTATCATGATTTGTTACTCTTCCATCTTACCATCCTTCTGATCTGTGTACTAAAGACTAAAGACAAAGGAATCTTCATCATGATAGATCCAAGGACTTATGGGCAGGATGAGTGAAGTTTTCATGAAAAATTTTCACATATAAAAAGATAATCAAACTGATATAAAAAAAACACTACTTTTGAAAACTAAAAATATAAATAAATACTAATTCTTAATTATCTTTTGAACTAATCTCTAAATCGACCACTAACAGCACAACTTTTCCAGCATAAAGTAACTTGGAATTGTTGCACACACATTCTATATCCTAATTTAAGTAAACTTTTTTTTTTTTACTATAGTTTCAAATATATATACATAATCCTAGAGCTAAGCCTATTATTAGCTTAGTAAAGTTACTCTAAAGTAACTGAAAATTTATTAAAATTAGACACACATTCTAAACCTTAATAACCAAATTAGTGGTTAAAATAACTAGACCACATTTGCCACATTTTGTCTTCTGCCAGAATTTACAGCTTTCAAATTTCTAAACCTCGTGCTGAAAAACACATTTAGTTTGGAAATACATTTATTGTGATTTTAACCATCCATTTAATTTGGAACCAAATTTCAGAAATCATATTATTCTCAAAATTATGTAATTATTTCTTCATTACTTAATTACTAGCAATCATTATTATTAAATTGTTTTAGATTTTTGGATTTTCAAGCACCTCATTATAATTCTCCTGCAATTGATCTAACATATTTTTTGCATCAGAGTATGGAGCCATCAGTAAGAAGATCCCGATTCAATGAACTCTTAGAGAACTATTATGAATCATTACTACTTACTTTCAATAAGTATAAATATACTGGTCCAGTTTTTACATTTGAAGAACTAACAGATGAAATGGAGCGGGTATCTTTTTTTGGCCTTAGTATGTTTACAATCAGACATGCTGTAGTCACTACAGATATGGATGATGCTATGGACTTGGAGAAAATTTTTCTTACAGAAGGAGAAGAGGGGTTAAATATTGATATATATAAAGATCTTGCTCTCATTGATAGGATGGGCCCAGATTTAAAACTAATAGTAGCTTTACATGCAACATGAATTCAATACTATATATTATTGTAATACAATTGTGTTACCAATTCCAATTGACGAACCTTTAAAAAAGGAAGATTGGTATTTTTATCCTGTAAATATGAATATTTATTAAAATTTTTATAAGTATTTTGTTAACTGTAACTAAAGATAATCAATGCCATATGAATATTGTATGAACATTAAGCAAATATTTTAAATAAATAAATATAAAACTATCCAAAATAGCTCATGTTATTTTCTCTAACCACATTTAATATAACAACTTAATTAAACTTAGAAATTACAAGATAAAAGCAACAGTTCAACTTGATTCAACTCAGTTTCTTTCTATATTTCAAAAAAAGGGGGAAGTAAGTTTAAGATAAATATATTAAATTAATAGAACTTCCAAGTGTTAAATTCATTTACCAAAAATTAAATGTAATAATTTAAAAAAAAACAACATTCTGTTGCATATCTTATAACTTTTTTATTGATTAAGTTTAAACAATTCCAAAGAAAAAAATAAATAAATACATACCAGAGATGTTAATTCATTGAAAAGAAAAAGAGGATAATGCTGTATTTTCATGTCTAAGTATTTAATACAGTAATACATTTTTTTTTTAACTTATTTGAAAGGTAAATAATATATATATGTGTGTGTGTGGTGAACTTTTACATAATTTATTCACACTATATTTTATAATTATTAAAATATCATAATTGTACTATCTGTGTTCCATTATTTCACCAATAATAAATTTGGATTATATATACCTATTCTATATAGATTGTTAGAAAATGAAGAAGTGCATCTGATTAACTAAATAAGATCCAGAAAAAAAAGACTCATCAATGTAGTGGCTCCCATTTAATGGAGCGACTTCATTTTAATGGCTTTCTACTACAGTATGGTTCTTTAAAAATTAGGGTGTTCATATAAAGTTTCTTCAATATAATGTATTAATATAAAAAAAAAAAATTTACTTAATGGATCATTATTGAAATTACTGAAAAATTAGTAATGAGATTGTTAATAATTATAGAGAGTACAAAGATGTAAGAGCCGAAATTGGTAATGACTAGCTGACCGGTGCAAATACTCCGCAAAAACCTAATAATTATATCTGATTTTAATACATTAAGAGAACAACTTCCATTCAATAATGTTTGATACGCAAAGATTAATTACATATATTTTGTAGGTTGTCTGTTTATGAATAGAATTTATATTCTACCATGGTTTAACCATTGCATTTTCTTAAACTTATAATTTAAATATCACCTTTTTCCTTCATTCTATTGTATTAAATTAACAAAAACCTCTAAACATTGCTTTAAACATCTGGTCAGGACAAAAGCCTCTAATTCTCATTGAGTTACAGTGATGGAAAAAAGTATTTGCACATCATGTTTTTATGAATAAATCAGTTCAAGGAAACAAAAAACTTCGCTTTCCTCTGCAAAAATGAAAAGTACATTTATTAAAAACTTAGAAAAACCTTTTGGAAAAAAAATGACAACACTCCATAATGAAACAAAAAAATTAAAACAATAAAAGTGCTTGGAAAAAAGTATTTGCACATTATGACTCACAAGCTCTGTTTACTTTGGCATTAATCCTCCTGTGTCCATAGGTCATAGGTTTGTTTACTAATATATCTCTAATCGTTTATTACCAGTATTCCCATATATTAATCCCATATTCCTTACGGTGGCGTTCTGGCCCCTATCTCTTCTGACCTTTCACTCGACCTTCCGAAGGTATCGCATCTCCTTGGCTTGAATTCGATAAAAATAAAAACTGGAATTTCATTCATTATTTAAAAATGAATTCGAAATAAATAAAAAGTCCCTAAACTAAGCAAGACAGATCTGATTGGTTTGATAAAGAATGCATAAGAATGATGCAAGAAAGAAATGAAGCTAGGATGAACTACCTGAGACAGAGAATAAGGCAAATTGGCCATAACTTTAGTAAGAGTAGGATACAGTGGCTTAATAATACAGTGCGGTCATACGGAGGGGACGGCCATATTGGATCGGCGGGAAACTAATATTTGAATAGTCTGTCTTTGTTATTTCAATTTAAAAAGTAATTATTGCAACAAACTATTTACTAGAATGGTTTGGGAGATAGAATTGAAGTTGAACAATCTTTATGAAGCATATGAATCACTTATATCACGCGAAAATAAATAATAAAATCAAAGAACAATATTTGTTTTTTTTTTCTGTTTAATTTCTTTTAAAATATATTCCAATAAACTTCGGCATATTAAGATTTCCATTGTGTTCATCTTACTCTCTCATTGACAAATTTCACAAACAAATTAATTAATTATTAAAACATTAAACAAAAACTGAGTGAAAATTAACTTTCATTGGAAAACCAGAAACTCAATTCTAAGTCAGCAATCATGAAACTATTTTTATTTTTCTTCTTAATATTCACCTTTAGAAAAAAAAAACTTTAAATAAATGTAAATTATTTAATGTAAATTTAATAAAAATAAATTATTTAATGTAAATTTAATAAATATAATTTATTTATATTGCTTATGACTGAATACCACAACTAGTGTTGCCCAAATGCGAGACCATGAGGTGTCTTGGTCTTGTGCAAGTCTCGCAACAGTCTTCCAGTTACCTATCAGCTTCTTATTATAGATATATTACTGTAATTTGTCAGACATGGAAACCTAAGCCCAAATGAAAAATTGAGAGTTAAATTCCAAAGGATATTGGTTACACCAATTCTTTACATATGGTAACTAAATTTTTCAAGTTTTACTATTACAACTATTTCAAGGTTGACTATTTTAACTTAATTTTTATTCATAAAAAGGATTTTTTTATCAATCTTGGTCTTGGTTTTACAAGTTAGGCAGGCCTTAGTCTTGATTTTGCAAAGTATATCACCAAGACTGATTTTGGACAACACTAACTATTATAAATCCACTATAATTAAAATTTTAAATAGTTCAAAATTTGATCCTCGATGTAAAGATTCATTTCTGATCATTGATATAAAATATTTTTTTATGAAATGGTTTGCCTCTTACCATAATGTAGATATTTTATATTGCATCTCTTATTTTATTTATTTTTCATTAGTTTTTTGGGAAATTAGAGATTGTTGGCTATAATATATTTTCAATTTTATCACACAGGATATACCAAGTAAAAATAACTAATAGTGAAACATAAAACTGTAAGGATAAAATACAATAAATTATCAATTGATTGAAGAACTATCCAATTTAACTTGAAAAAGAAAACATTTTTAATCAACAAAGGAATATATATATATAAAAAAAAAAAGATGAAACAGAATATTTATTTACAAAGAAATTTAAATTTATAAATGCTGCACATATACATTTACATATTTACTGCTAAAAACAGACATATGAGGGAAATTCTTTTTACTTATTGAATTTATCCTAAGTCTAAATACAATAAACCTCTTAAGAATACTATATTTAATATTGTTACAATTAAATACGTGTTCTTCATCAACAGAACTCATTTTTCTCTATGAAAAATCCTCTTAAATCACCTCTGAGTTGATTTGGCTCATATAGGTTTCGAAATTGACTTAATCCTTTAATTTGTTACTTTATTTTAATAATTTTCCTTTGTAATTCAGTGGTTATGAGAGAAAAAGATTGAAATTAAGTTTGAAACTTGATTATAGAAGATATTTTTATAGTTTGGGGCTATTAGCTGATACAATTTGTATTTTGAAATCAGTGGTTTCAAGTATAAAATTGAAATTTGGTTTTCATTTATAGTTATTGTTACTTTCAATATTAAAAATATGAGTGTAGTTGATGATCCTTAAATCATAGTTTAATTGAGTATAGTTGATGATCCTTAAAATCTTGACCTTAAATGATACTCATATTTTAATGATGAAAGTAACAATAACTATAAAGGAAAACAAAATTTCAATTTTATACTGGAAACTAATAACTTCAAGATAAAAATTGTGTTAGCTAATAGCCTCGAACTATAGACACTGTCTTCATATAACCAAGTTTCAAACTTGATTTCCATCTTTTTCTTTCATTACCACTGAATTAAAAAGGAAAATCAATAAAATAAAGTAAAAAATTAAAGTATACACACAATTTTAAGTCTACGAAGAACAAACCAAACTTGTCACTTTAACTTTAAACACTGATATATATAGCTATTAAATAAAAAATACCTATTAATAAACTAAATCTATTACTAAAACAAAACAATTAAACTTTCAAACAAAATATCACTAATAAAATATGAGTCTGTGAAGATGAAATCTATCACTGAACATGAATAGGTTAACTATCACTTTAAACACTAAAACGTACAACTATTCAATAAAAACTACCTATTAGTAAACTAAATTTATTACTCAAACAACACAATTAAACTTTTAAATAAAATATCACTAATAAAATAAGTCTGTAAAGATGAAACCTATCACTGAACAAGAAACCAAAACAATCACTGAAAACACTAAAACGTATAACTATTCAATAAAAGCTACCTATTAATAAACTAAACCTATCACTTAAACAACAAAATTAAGCTTCTGAACTAAAATACTGCTAATAAAATATGAAATTTTAACAGTTTTGAGGTGCCTAAAGAGCAAGCAGATAGCAAGGGACGATCCAAGATGGCCAACCAATCAGAAATCGAATCCATATGACCGCACTGTATTATTAAGTCACTGTAGAGTAGGAAAGAAGGCAGCAAGCTCTGGTGGCGTAAACACGAGACTATGAAAAGGAGAAATATATGTACATTAAACGCGAATACAATATAAGAATATCCGAGGTTTCTTTGGGGTTTTAAAGCATATTAAACAAGGATTCAAGCCAAAACAAGCATTCACAAAGGATGAAACAGACAACCTTCTATCCAGCCAGAGAGATGTAATGAGTAGATGGCATTTTAAGAGTCTACTGACATAGATAGAAGAAAAGGGTAATGAAAATCCGCAGGAACACGATATGGGTTTTTCTCTCTGGGCACTTGTAATTCAGAAAATAGTACTTAAAACACTAGGCTATTTTCTGCTTTAAGCACACCAGTGATGCTATATTTTTCCCTTTTTGTCTCTTCTGCACGACTTCGCATTAAGATACAGTTTTGAATAATGACTCATCACAAAGAGGACAGAATTCTGAAAATTTTCTTTGCTAAATTATCCAGGTCCTAATTTAGTCCGTAAGGGGGGTCGGTAATTTCTCAATACTCTATGGAGTGAAACAGAAAATCGAATAGAAACATATAATTCATCATTTTTATGAATAAATATTTTAAAATATAAATTCTCTATTACCCTCCTCAAAAAGGTTTCTGAATTATCTATGGTATTTACATTTGGAGATATCTTAGTCCAAATGATCCAAACAGTCGTTATTATTTGTTTTGTTTTTTTGTGGCTATTTTTTTCCGTCGTTATGATGGATACCATGACGTCACAATTTACAATATAAGCGAAGCTTATTACAAAGAGGATGTAATGCTTAATATTTCTCTGGCTAACAGTATGCAGGTCCGATTTCTAATTTCTGAGATATTTTAATCCTTATGTTCAACCAAACTTGTTATCATTTGGTTTTCGACACTACCGTTTTCCCTTTTTGCCTCTCTGACACGGCGTCGCGTTAAGATACAATTTTGAATAATAGTTTATAACAGAGACAACGAATGATGAAAATTTCCCTTGCTACCAGTATACAGGTCCGATTTCTAGTTTCTGAGATATTTTACTCCAAATGTTCAACCAAACTCGTTATCATTTGGTTTGAGACACTGTCATTTTCTTTTTGCCTCTGTAACACGGCGTCGCGTTAAGATAAAATTTTGAGTAATAGCTCATTCAAAGAAGATAAAATTCTGAACATTTCTCTCGCTTACAGTATGAAGGTCCAACTTTTAGTTTCTGAGATGTTTTAATCCAAATGCAAAACACTTCAAAAATTCACTGGTATAATAAAAGTAGAAAAGATCCAAACCCTATTCACTGGTGTGCTTAATGTATAAAAGAGTCTAACCCTATTCACTGGTAGCAAATAAATGTGCTTGATAAGTACATATTTGTAAATATAATTATATTTACATTTTAACAGTTCCCGGTTAAGTTTGTAATTAGATCCGTATATCTTTGTGATTTAAAAGAAGAAAAATTGATTGGCCCTTCTTGCTTAAGATGATCCCTACGTATTTTATTACTGTAGAGTGAATCTAACCTCTTTGAACAACCATGTTATTTTTCGATTATTGGTGTTATTTTGAACACATGAGTTGGCATGTGTTACCGTGCTTTGTGTGAGTTCAAAAGGGTTAAATAAGTTAATAGGATTCTTCCATTTGTTAATATTCTAGTTCAGCACGTTATATATATATATATATCAGTTGATTTTACAGTGAATATAAAGGTAGTAGGTACTCACATTGTGTTTCAAAAAGTAGTGATTCAAAAACCAGTGGAAATTTGGTTGTCTAAACACGAGTTACTAGTTTTTAATGTTACAATGTCACAGCATTATTATTACACACAGTCAGTGCCTTTTCCTTATAATGCTGAAGGGAATTATATCCAACCACCTCCACCATTCTTCAATTGCTTCACTCCGAGTGCCCCAGGATATGTACCTTATAATACTTCATATCCTCCACCACCAGTATTTCCACCCGGGAGTGAATTGGTGAGTAATCAATTTCAAAGTAGTATAGTGAGTGGTAGCCATGTAACTACTGCAACAGATACAAACCTCAGCAAAGATGAATGTGCTAAATTACAAGATGAGTTTATTTACAAATGTTTAAATGGGCCAAGGAGTAGCTTTGACAAAAGACCACACAGAGAACGATCAAAACACAGATCTTACAGCCCAGAGCCACGGCGAAGATCTCATAGTAGTTCTCGTGGTGCTGTCAGTAGGAAACCTAGACATAGAAGAGACAGTTCAGATTCATCTGAGAGAGATAGAAGTTTTCATTCAAGAACTCGAAAAAAATCATTTATAGACAAATGGCGGTTGAACAATTGTTCTACGACTAAAGAAATGAAGAACAAATTAGAAGAAATCAGTCATATGAATCCAGAAGATATTATTAAAAAAGAAAAATTATTTTGGACACGTTCAGCTCCAGCTGATTTATATTATGTTAAAAAACAAGATAGTTCTACAGTATTGGAAGCAACCGATAAACTCCTGAGTCTTTGTAATCAATTTGAAGAAGAACTGGTTAAGAGGGGCCAAAGGGCTAGGGCTGAAAAGCCACCATACCAATGTCCTCCACGAAAGAAGAAGTTACATAAGCATAAATGCTGTAATTTAAATCATGATTCAAGTTCAGATACCTCTTCAGAAAACGAATCTGAAGAAGATGAAGGACTCCTTGAAGAATTAGAAAGAAAAAAAGCACATCCTGATAGGTTACATCCAGAATTGTGGTATAATGATCCAGGAGAAATGAATGATGGCCCTTTGTGTAGATGCAGTGCTAAAGCCAAGCGATCGGGAATCAGACATAATATATATGCTGGTGAATTAAGTTTACAAAAATGTGATATCAATACGAATAATGCTGATAAATTATATCACTACAGAATCACTATTTCTCCTCCCACCAATTTTTTAATTAAAACACCGACTGTGATTGAATATGATCACCATGAATTCATATTTGAAGGGTATTCGATGTTTTCTCATAAACCTTTGGAAAATTTGCCTGTATGCAAAGTTATTAGGTTTAATATTGAATATACTATTCTCTACGTGGAAGAAAACTTACCACAAAATTTTACTATAAGAGAACTAGACTTATTTCACGAGTTTCTATTTAAAGAAATATTAGAATTAGTTGATCTTGATTTTAAAGCAGCAGGTGATTCTAATGGTTGTGCCCAGTTTCATTTTATGCCAAGATTTGTTCGTGAACTTCCTGAAAATGGAAAGGAATTACTCTCTATGAACGTAATTTTAAGTTATTTATTGAATAGTTCAAAACTTTTGATTCCAAAGGATGAACTAAAAGACATTATAAGTTTACCTAATTACAAGTGGCAAAAACTTGTTGATGAAGTTAAAGGAATGGTGGTTACGTATCCAGGGAAAAAACCTTGCTCTATCAGGGTTGACCAGCTTGACAAGGATCAAAGTAATGTCAGTGATGGGAACCCAAAATATCCTGAAATAGTTCATTTTGGAATTCGTCCGCCACAGTTGAGCTATGCGGGAAATCCAGAATATCAAAAAGCGTGGAGAGAATATGTGAAATTTCGTCATCTTCTAGCTAATATGCCAAAATCGTCTTACGAAGACAAAAGAAAATTAGAGGCTAAAGAAAATAAACTTCAAGAAATGAGAAGTCAAAGCAAAATGAAACGAGATGTTACCATAGCTGTTTCCAGTGAAGGATTTTACAGAACAGGTATTATGTGCGATATTGTCCAGCATGCTATGCTTCTGCCTGTTTTAGTATCGCATTTAAGATTCCATCGCTCTTTGGATGTTTTAGAAAATAAGATAAATTATAAATTTAAAAATAGAAGCTTATTACAACTTGCTCTAACTCATCCATCTTATAGAGAAAATTTTGGAACCAATCCTGATCATGCTCGAAATTCACTTACCAATTGTGGCATTCGGCAGCCAGAGTATGGAGACAGACGAATTCATTACATGAACACCAGAAAGAGAGGTATAAATACACTTATCAATATAATGTCCAGATTTGGAAAGAAGCGGGAAACTGAATCAAATATAACTCACAATGAACGTTTAGAATTCCTAGGAGATGCTGTAGTGGAATTTGTTTCATCAATTCATTTATTTCACCTTTTCCCTAGGCTTGAAGAAGGAGGTCTTGCCACTTACAGAGCAGCTATTGTTCAAAATCAACATCTAGCAGTTCTAGCGAAAACATTAGGCTTAGACGGATATATGCTGTATGCCCATGGTTCAGATTTATGCCATGATCTTGAGTTGAGGCATGCAATGGCTAACTGTTTTGAGGCTTTGATGGGTGCACTTTTCCTTGATGGTGGTATAGAAGCGGCTGACAAAGTTTTTGGTGAAGTACTATTTGAAGACAATAAAGTTTTGCAGAATGTTTGGAGAAATTATCCTCCACATCCTTTGCAAGAAGAAGAACCATCTGGTGATAGAAAATGGATTGAATCCTACCAGATGCTACAAAATCTTACAAAATTTGAAGACTCTATTGGTGTTCAGTTTAATCATATTCGTCTTTTAGCTCGTGCTTTTACTGATAGGAGTATGGGTTACAATAATTTAACTTTAGGGTCTAATCAGAGGTTAGAATTTCTCGGAGATACAGTTCTTCAGTTGATTGCATCAGAATATTTATATAAATATTTTCCAGAACATCATGAAGGGCATCTTTCATTATTAAGAAGTTCTCTAGTAAACAACAGAACACAGGCGGTAGTATGTGATGATCTTGGTATGGCTGCTTATGCTGTATATTCTAATCCAAAAGCTGAACTGAAGACTAAGGATAGGGCTGATCTTTTAGAAGCTTTTCTTGGTGCTCTGTATGTTGATAAGGGCCTACTTTATTGTCAGACTTTCTGCAATGTTTGTTTCTTTCCTAGACTTCATGATTTCATCATGCATCAAGATTGGAATGACCCTAAATCTAAGTTGCAACAATGCTGTCTTACATTGAGAACAATGGAAGGAGGTGAGCCAGAAATACCAGTGTATAAAGTCATTCAGTGCATGGGTCCAACTAACACTCGTTTATATACTGTTGCTGTTTACTTTAAAGGAAAGCGTTTAGCTGAAGCTTCTGGTCATAGCATTCAGCAAGCTGAAATGAATGCTGCAAAAGTAGCTTTAGAACACTCACAAAGTTTGTTTCCTCAACTAGATCATCAAAAAAGAGTAATTGCAAAAAGTATGAAACAAGAGCCGCTAAACTCTGTAACATCAAAAAAGAAACTAAACAAAGATTATTATGAAGAAAAAATTTATAAGAAATATGATTATGGCAATCCACATAAGAAATTTAAAAAAGAAAACATAAAAGCCTCTTCTTCCAAAGAATCATCACCCATTTCCAGAAGATTTTCTTCTAGCAATGATAAATCAGATTCTGATTCAGACAGTCGCAGAAAAATAAAAAAATACAAGCATAAAAAATGTAATGAAAATTCTTTGGATAGAATGTCAACTTCTGATGAGTATTGTTCTGATCAAGAAAATATCAAGAAAAAAATTCGTTATTACAGCAGTTCTTCTACCAGTTCTTCTGAAGATGAAAGCAGTGTTGACGGAAGTACTAATAGCTCTAACAAATCAATGCAGAGATATGGTACTAATGAAGAACTATCGAAAAATTATTTATTTTATTCAAATGAACTTAAAAATATGAAAGATCAACTAGCTGGAGAAGGAAAAAGCAGTGTACTAAATGGCAGCGATCTGAAAGAAGTAGATTCATTATCTGAAGATGGAAGCAGCTCATTTTCAGTTGAATATGATCAGAATAATAAACGTGTTTCCGAAACTCCTTAATTTTATTCAAAACCAATGTATTGAAGATTAGTGATATTTGTAAATTATTAGTGATACTCAAAATTAATTATTTATTGTTTTTACTTTTATGTATGAAATATTTATTAATAGTTTTATTTTATTTTAGCATTAAATAATAAATTAAAATGGCTGTGTGTGTGGCCAAAAGATACAAAATCAGAAAATCTCAGTATCGAAAGGCTACAGTATTTATTATTATTATAATTTTTTAATCCATAACATCCATTGTAAGTTATAAATGAAATAAAGTTATGTAATTAAATGAATGTTAAAACTTACGCTTTTTTAAGCATTATGGTATCTTTTTTAAGATATGAGGTATCTATTAAGCAATATTTTTATCTTATTGTTAAGTCTATTTATTATTGTAAATTTATTAATTTAAGATTTACTATCTATTAGAAATAATAAAGTGATATGAATAAAAAAAATTATAAACATGCACATGAAATGCTTTTAAACATTTATACAGTTAGACATCTATAAACTTATAGAACAACCTGGAAATATGACATTGAAGTTCTGGTATTACTACTTTGTAATTTAAAAACATTGACCATTGTCTTCTGATTCCAGATGAAGGTATGTTACATCTGTCCATGAGGTAGTAGAACTAATTTTTGAAGACAACTAACATAGGAATCCTCATAAATCTATTTAATGATAAATGGCAAAACTGTTAATGAGATTATGTCAGTATAAATACATATGTAATGAATACACCTAAGCAGAAAGCTTGATTGATTTCAATCATTTTTATTGTAAATAAATCCATAGTTTAATTTATACTTCTGCTGAATCCATGACATTTAGTTGGCCATTGATGTTAAATTCTGAATTTGGTTGTATTATTCAGCTGCTTCTTGAGTCTCAGAACAAAAGCTATCTTATTTGTTGTCTTGAAATTATACAAATTTAAAATTAAGGAAAAAGTCTAGTAAATATAATAAATTAGTTATGATATAATAAGAAGATGCAGTCCTTGTCCATGCTTAACTACAATCTGACATGACCTGTATTCCAGGAGAATTACAGAACAATACAAGTTACCTGGATATACTCATTATCATGTGCTATTTTTAATATATAATTAAGATCTATAGCTGTAAGGGTGGTACTCAAATATACTGTAGAATGCTGGCTGGACTATAACAGAAAACAAGCTCTCGTGAGAGGTAGGATCCTGATAAGCTTGGAATCAATTTGTTTAAGTCGGTCTTGGTTTCTGCAGACTAATACAGAGTTATTGATGCTATATGACGATGTTGATGTGGTAACCTACATTGAACTATGCTGCTGGGCATGTCGTTAGAATACCTGTTACCAAGAAGATGTCAGAAAAAGAAAATAATTGGAAATGGAGGAGAAACAAAACAAAATTGTAGAGGTTAGATGGTGTAGTAAAAATGCCCGACCCATGATTAGAATTTGGAATTGGAAAACAGTAGCATAGAAAAGGGATGATTGATGGTCATTGCAGCACCTAATCCTGTCTTCAGAAGGGATAATTTAGCACCACAGAAAGAAGTGAGTAACTAATGTAAAAACATTTATTTTACTATTATGTTACCAAAAACTATATTTTGTGTATTATCATGTGGTTACAATACAATTACTTTCTTGCTCATTCATTAAAAGGATTGATGATTGATAATAAAGAGTTGGCAACTAAGTTTCTGTATTTGTATTTATTTTATAATTCTACTAAGGCCAACAAAAGCCCCAATGTGGGTTGCTATCTTAATTAGTATATGTCAGCTAAGATTTCTCTTAAGGCTTGTTAATATCAGATCCAGGGTTTGAAATGAAATTATAGATTTTATTTTTAATCATTTTCAGTAGTACTGGAATCCTTATTTTCAATTTTTTTCTGTTATGTTTGAAGTATATTTTTTCCCTTGCAACTTTCAAGTAAAGATTTTACAGAATTTTTTGTTTGTTTGTTTTTAAACTTTTATTTAAAATTCTGTTGGTTTCGCAATAAAGTCAATCTAAAAATTGTCTATTATTCATAGCTACTCAAGCAAACCACGCTTAACAATCAAGTAAATTATTTAAGATAAATAACAACTCTAATCTAAGCTCAATTACTGTTTATTTCTTATTCACAGAAACTTTTCAACTTCAACAAATTAATTTTTTTTCTGTAAAGAATTGATTTGTACTTGTTAACTTTTTAATAACAATCAGCACATGTTCTGAAAATACAAGATATATATGACATGTCAGGTATGAGTAAGGACAGTACTCAGCAGCATCTCTTCCCTGACTTGTTTCAATTACTGAGGTTGTTTAAGGAAGGAGATCTCTCCTTCCTTAACAGAAACGTCTTTTTAATCTCATCCTCATGTTTAGGGGTACGTAAGCTGTGGCCATGTCTCTTATTAATCTGTTGTGATGTCCGTTTAAATTAGCATTAAATCATTGGTAACGAGTTGTTATATGTTGGTCAACTGTTGGAAGGTAGAGGTCAGTATGTTATGAGTTTTGTTAGTCACGCACCGAGGTGCTTCTGTTATAAGTTACAATAATTTTGATTGGAAGGTTTGAAGTTGTAGGTGAGTCTTTTTAACAATACTGTTTATTTGTGATGAGTATGTCCATATGGATTTATGTATGTATATGCTTTCAGTTTCTGTCTCAGTTTAAAGTAGTTTGAGTCTTTCTTCTGTAGAAGGTGAGTCCAACTTAAAGTACTATGTCTGTTTGAGAAATTTGATTGTTGTCAATTAAAACTGAAAGGCAGATTTTTTTTTGAAGAGCAAGTGTTATATGTTTGGATTTAAGTTGATTTTTCCATAGTTTGAACCAATCTTGTCATTTAAATAAGTGATGTTGTAGAGTTAGTGAGGCTTGTGTATGGTCTTGATGTTTTGCAAGAATTGTTGTATCATCTGCATAAGTAGCTGTCATTGTTAATAGGTATATCGTAAGTTTATACCTACCATGTAAAGTATTGAACCTTGGAAAACTCCTGCCAAGATTGAATGAATTGAAGACATTTTCAAGCCCTGCCAAACTGAGAAAAATTTGTCGAAGAGGAAAGGTTGAAGGATAAGATACTACATGTATGGCAGTATAGTCTTAAGTTTAAAGAGAAGACTTTCAAACAACTAAGCAACATCCAAAAATGCACCAGTTGTATATAGTTTTTGTTCTAAAGCTCCAGCCATGTAGTAGGGAACTCTGTGTAATTGATGTGTCACCGAATGGAATGGGAAAGCCGAATTGATGGTCAGGTATTATCTGTTGGTCAGTCAATACTTCAACAAGTCAGTTTTATGTTAATTTTTCAAAAGATTTAGATTGATTAGGAAGGAGGATAATGGGTCTGTAAGATGAAGGACTGTATATATCTTTACCTGGTTTGTAAATCATTTTAATGGGTGAGTATTTCCATTGTAATAGGAATTTCGAAGTCCTTAGCACAGAGTTGTAAGTTATTGTCAGAAATACTAGAGCTTTCTTGAGTATTCGTTGGGATGCTTCGGCAATTAATAAGTCATAACCAGGAGCTTTTCTTTTCAGTAATTGTTTGAATTGGAGTGCAGCCTGAGTAAAAGAAGGAGTTGGTAGTGTCATCTGAAGTAGGATGTCTAATGTGTTAAGTACTTGAGTCTCATGTTCTGTTTTTGTGAAGTTTTTAAATGATTTAAATACAGAAAGAAGGTGGTTAGGGAAGATTGCAGATTTTTCTTCATCCCACACTGCCTAGGATCCATCTTTTTTTCAGAGCGATGCTGACAGTTCTTTGTGCTTTAACAACTTTTTGGTTTTGTATATATTGGTCAACTGTTGGAAGATAGAGATCAGTAAGTAGAGTTTTGTTAGTCACGTACCAAGATGCTTTTGTTATGAATCGCAATAATTTAATTGGAAGGTTTAAAGTTTCCACAAGCTTCCATCATCAGCTGAAAAACCATCTATGTATGTGTGACTTATTACTTATGATCCTGTTTATTTATTGGATTTCTCTTTTAAGTTGATTGTTTAGTCAGTTAAATATCTGTCTATCTGATGGGTGTCTTTAATTAAACTTTTATCATAAACCTAGAACTTTTTTACAAAAATGTGCCTTGGAACTTTTATTTTAAAAACTTTTCTCCTAAAAGGTTTCACAAAGACTTTTTCTATTGTGTTAAAATAGAACTTTTCTAAAAAGGTGCTATAAACGTTTCAATCCCTGTTCAGATCAATATGATTTGCTGTTGTTTTGTGATTATGGAAGAGTAAAGCGTGCAGCTAAAGCTCACCAAAAAGTTAAGAAGTTGAGGAGACCATGGCTTTTAGAACGCCCATATCAAAATATGTTGGCTAAATTTCAAGCAGGAAATTTTTAGTAATTTATGTTTCAGTCTGGTGCCCTGCAGAAGTTTGAAATCTATGACTTAATTCTCCGAGTTCCATGGACTTTTTAAGGTCTTGCACATTTTTAATTAAAAAAAAATATATTTCAATTAAAAAAATACTGACTAAAGAAATTGGGAAATTCTATCCACTCTAAGGGAATGTACTTCCATGTCTGCTTGAACATCTTGATTGATTAATAGAGAAATTGATGTTCACGAATATCTAAACTTGGTTTAGAAGTTGGGTGTCTACCATCCCTAAACACAACTCTAGACTCTGATGTTTACCAAAGCTTAAGCAACTAATAGGTGGATTGGAAAACATCATTCAAAACAATGGAAAAACCTTACGGATTAAAATTAATTTGTTTTATATAATATAATGAGTTTTATTTCACCCTGAAATACAGAAAAGACTTAGTTTCTAACTCTATATAGTGTGTAATATTAAAAAAAAATTGTATTATATAAATGATGTTGAGAAAGTATTTAGCTAAACAATGTAATTCAATTAGTTATTTAATATTAAGATTCTTTTAAAAATATGCTATATTTTCTCTGTCATCTTTTGATACCATGAATTATATATTCATATTAGTAAGATGACAAGTAGATTTATAAATAACTAAAAAATAAAATGAGACAAACTCAAATTGTAACTAAACGACCTTATTAATTTTATGTTATTTTTATACTACTATTTTTTAAGTTCCTACGGTACTTCTCAAAATAATGTTAACAAAAATTGAAATTCCTCCTTTATGTTATAATTTCTTTTGTAAATAAAAGTTATTGATGGTTAAATTGGTTATCTTACCTTGATTATTTAAGCCTCTCCCATACTGAAATTCAATCCTTACAACTCTTGTATGAAAGTTCGTTTATCATACAAGTGCTAATCTCTGAAAAATAGAAGTGTTATTAATTAAGGTGTGTTGAAACCCAAGCTAAGATAAACATAATAAATGTTTTTTAAATAAAAGTGAAACTTAAAAATACTATGATTTTGATTACTCCCAAAATAATTAATTTTTTTTAAAACTTCAATTTGACTACTGAAGAAAAGGAACTCTTTATAAGAAAATGTATATATCAAAATTCAACCATGCTAGATGTGTTTTTTTAACGAAAGAAATTGTTTTTGGTCAAAGTGTACTTCCTTTGTTATAATGGGATTTAAGATGTTTATATAATTAGTAAATGTGTTTCATAATTTCAACACATCATCCAAGTTAATCTAGAATAAAAAAATTGTGGGATTTTTTATGAAGCTGGATGAGAATTTAATATAAACAATGTGTCAATTTGATCGGATGATATCTGTTTGTTTCATATAAAATATCAGTTCCAGAGATGAAATTTTAAAAAATATATAAAGCAACCCAATAAGAATTTATTTATTGGTGATATTATAATATTTTTTTATCTATGATAATTACAACTGTATTAATTGTTTCAATTGTCAATAAAACAAAATCTAAAAAATGCGAAGAAAGGTCTATAATGACAGGAAAAGACTTTTTGAGAAACCATACAATGGTAGTACCCACTAGCGGATCCAGGATTTAATTTTGGGGAGGGCTTCAGCCTGAAAGCTTTTTTTTTTTCATAAAAATGATGTAATAACTTTGGGAAAAAAGAAAGAAACTAACTATCTATATGAAATGGTGTTTAAGTGATTCCTTAAGTCCTGTTAAATGTAATTACACGAACAATAATACTTTAAGAGATAATTTTTTAATACATTTTTCCATAAAACATGGTTATATTTTACCATTTTGGAGGAGGCTTCAGCCCAAAGGCTCCCTCCCCCTCCCGGTAAATCCGCCCGTGGTAGTACCCTAATAATCTGCATAAATAAATCTGCATTAGGAGATCAGAAAGCCATCTTCTTTTCAGACTCCTTAAAGGTTTATCAGGAAGCAAGGTTTGTAATGTGAGTCTGAAGTTTATCATAGAAGAATGCATATGTGCAGACTGTTCATTCTGGTGGGGGAAGGGAGCAGTAGACCTCCCTCCCAAAATAAAAAGTATAAATCATACTTGGTTAGAGCCGTTTTTGAGAAAATTGTAAAAATGTGTTTCACAGTTGACATAAAGCAGCACTTCCCGTTAGCCGATTTTAACGAAAAGGTTGCCGTCACATCGGAATCATATAAAAACCTTAAATACGCAGTTTCGTACGACTTTTCGTTTATGATATATTAGTATATAGCATTTCCAAGTCAAATTCAATCTTTTCCAAGTCAAATTAAACTTTTTCCAAGTCAAATTCAACCTTTTCCATTTCAAATTAAACCTTTTCCATTTCAAATTCAACCTTTTTTTATTTATTTAATTATCTTTAATTTTTCGATGTGTGGGTCTGTTATCGTATGAGTAGTTTTTGAAAATAACCTCCTTTTAAAGATTACATGACTGAGTTTCGAATTATTTAAGTTTTTTTGAATTATTCGATATAAGGGTGTATTTTTATGTTACCCGATCAGTAAATTTTGAAAATGACATCCATTTTATGTTTACGCCACCGCGTTTCGACTTATTTGAGTTTTTCGGATATTTTTCATATGAGGGTGTATTTTTATGTTTCCGGAGCTGTAGATTTTGAAAATGACCTCCATTTTAAGATTAGGCCACCGCGTTTCGACTAATTTGAGTTTTTCGGATATTTTTCATATGAGGGTGTATTTTTATGTTTCCGGAGCTGTAGATTTTGAAAATGACCTCCATTTCATGATTACGTCATTGGATTTTGACTTATTTAAGTTTTTCGAATTTAGCCAATTTAAAGGTCTACTTATATGTTTTCGGAACCGTAGATTCTGAAAATGACCTCTATTTTATGATTACGCCACTGCGTTTCAACTTATTTAAGTTTTTAGAATTTAACAAGTATAAAGGTCTAATTTTATGTTTCTGGAGCAGCAGATTTCCCCCATTTTGTAAATGACTCAATTTCAAGTTTATGCCACTGTGTTTTGGATTATAAAAGTGTGTTTTGGATTTTGTTTTTATTTTTTCGGTATAAGAATCTACTTATATGTTATCCGAGACGCATTGAAATTTTTCTAATCTTTAATATTTAAATTTATCTTATATTTAAGCTCCATTTTATGATTAAGCCGCTGCATCTCGAATAATTAGGCTGCATTTTGGATTTTTACAATACAAAGTTTCATCAATATGTTTTCGAGTATGAATAAATAAATAAATATTATGAAGCTAAAGTTAAATTAACCACAGAATACAAACTAAAAAGCCGAAAAGCAGCTGGTAATAAATTTAACCTTCCGTATTCAGATTTGTCAACTAATTGTTCGAAATCTTATAATTTTGTGACAGGAGACCACAACATTAAAAAAGATAACTAAAATTAAATTATAAATGAGACAATACATATTTTATTTATTTTGATTAGATATTTTTATTTATTTATTGAAAAATAAATTAATCCTTCATATTTTGTTTTTTATTCGAAGGACAAAATCAAAAACACTTAAAAAAACCGAAACACAGTGGCCTAATCTTAAAATGTAAATCGTTTTAAAAACTAAGGCTCCGGCATCATAAAAGTAGACCTTTAAATTGGATAAATTAGAAAAAACTTGAATAAGCCGAAACGCAGTGGCGTAATCTTAAAATGGAGGTCATTTTCAAAATCTACAGCTCCGGAAACATAAGAATAAACCCTCATATGAAAAAAATCCGAAAAACTCAAATAAGTCGAAACGCGGTGGCCTAATCTTAAAATGGAGGTCATTTTCAAAATCGACAGCTCTGGAAACATTAAAATACACCCTCATATGAAAAATATCCGAAAAACTCAAATAATTCGAAACGCGGTGGCCTAATCTTAAAATGGAGGTCGTTTTCAAAATCTACGGCTCCAGAAACATAAAAGTACACCTTTATATTTCATAAATTTTAAAAACTTAAATAAGTCAAAACACAGTGGCGTAAACATAAAATGGATGTCATTTTCAAAATTTACTGATCGGGAAACATAAAAATACATCCTTATATCGAATAAGTCAAAAAAACTTAAATGATTCGAAACGCAGTCAGTTAATCTTAAAATGGGGGTTATTTTCAAAACTAGGTACAGGATAGCATAATACTAGTCCCTAATAAATCCGAATAGGTACAATAAATCGATATCCGTAAGTAAAAATTCTACTTAGAAGAGCATAATAATAGACTTTCATATTGGAGGGGGGGGAGGGGATGGCCATTATTTTTTAAAAAAATATAAGATTTACAAAAAATTAAAACATTAATTTGAAATGAAAACGGTTGAATTTGAATTGGAAAAGGTTTAATTTGAAATGGAAAAGGTTGAATTTTATTTGGAGAAAATTTTAATTTGATCTGGAAAAGGTTGAATTTGACTTGGAAATGACATAAAAATATCACACTGAAAAAATCTAAAATGTTAAAATAAATGGATATACAACCGCGTTATCAATTTTTTTTTTTGTATTTTTCAAAAGCTATACTTTCGTTAATATAGTAAGTGGCCTTCATTTCGAAAAAAAATCGAAAATTGACAAAAATTCGAAAGTTGAATTTGAAATGGAAGAAGTTAAATTGACTTGGAAAAGGTTGAATTTGAAATGGAAAAGGTTTAATTTGAATTGGAAAAGGTTGAATTTGATTTGGAAAAGGTTGAAATTGACTTGGAAATGCTATCTATATATCATGTATACAAATTTTGAGTGGTAATCAACATAATGATTGTAAAACGAAATATATAATACTATGGTTTTATTCTTGCTTTGTTTTGCCTAAATACCACTCGTTTTTACTATCATTACCTTTATATGCAATATATAGTAAGGGTGAAGTATTGCGATCGTGAAAATTTTTGAGTCTGTGTTATCAACTGAAATACTTATTTTGAGGTCTGAGTCCAAATAAACCACGTCCCGTAAAATGGTCTGTCTGTGTGTGTGTATGTATGTTACCAGTCTAGCTCAAAAACAAAGGGTCGTATAAAAGTGAAATTGCATTTTTAAAATTTATATAAGCTTCCGATGTTAAAGCAACAGTTTCGACAATTCGGAAGTGGTACTGTTGATTTTGATTAAACCCAGTATTCCAGTAACGTTATATTAAGCAGTTTTTAATATAATGTAGGTTTTATTCTCATTGATGTTCTCTATCCAGGGCTTAAATGGCTAATTTTCAATATTGGCTCTCTCTAAAGTACCTTTATTTTTTTTTATTTGAAATAATTAACCATTTCACATTAACCTTTGATATAAATAAATTGTTGAATATAAAATATGAAAGATTTTGATAATTAACTAAAGAAGAAATAAGAGATCGTAACGGATAATAGTTACAATAGAGGAATCATAGGAATCCGAGCTCGCCCATAAGGTTGCAACAGGCTTCCATTCGTAACACGAGTCCCGACAATATTATGTTCATATACATATGCGGTTTTCATAAATGCTATTGTTGGTATTCTTTAATATTTAATTGTATAGAATACAGCGATATAAAAATTAAAATTTGTTTATATCAAGGTAATTAAACAAATAAAAATACCTACAGGGAATCCTAATTAAATACAGCATCAATAATTTTTACTTTATCTTCCCCTTTGTCTGAAAATACTTATTTCTGATAAGAAGAGGGTGATAAGTGAAAGTTGTGTGATACGCGCACCAGTTTTTTTTTATTTTTACTTTCACTTGCCTTTATATGTAATATACAGTAAGGGAAATTACTGCGATCGTGAAAATTTTCGAATCTGAGTTTTCAACGGAAATACACGTTTTGAGGTCCCCTGACCCCAAATAACGAAGTCCCGCAAAATGGTCTGTGTGTATGTGAACAGCCTAGTTCAAAAACGAAAAGTCGTACGAAACGTAAATTGTGTATTTAAGGTTTATATATAATCCCGAGGTGACATCAACCTTTTTGTTAAAATCGGCTAACCAGAAGTGACACTTTATATCAAAGGTGAAACACATTTTTACAATTTTCCCCAAAACGGCACTAACCAATTTGGTTAAACTCGATATATCATTGTATAATTAAGTGGTCTTTAATATCATTTAAGTCATATCCCCATTGATGTCACTTTACAGAGCTTAAATGCCAATGTTCATATACGTCTTCCCCTAAAGTACCTTTAATATGTATTGTTTGGAAAAATTATCTTGCTTTTATTGGCAGTGACTACAAAAAATGATTAAATATTGAAAGAATATATTGGAAACTGTAGGAAAAAATAAAAATGCTCATGACGTGTGAAAGAAGAAGTGAAATATAAAAATATTTCATGGAAATGTTTATAACCTTAAATACATTTGCTGTACTTTAATAACTCTAGATATGATTATATATTTAAATAATTAGGTATTTATTGTCTATTTATTCCATGATAAACATGTGTTTATGTACATGATAAACATGTACACTATGAGATTAACTATCTATAAATATGGATTAGTTGTTTTTTTCGAAAAGCGAACTAAATAAATGAAAAATAAGGAAAACTGTTTCAGTTACATTAAATAAAGTGGCAGTTGTTGCTTATTTTTCGTAAACAAACTTCGAATCTCTTTGATTCGTAGTTCTATGTGTGTAAATTAAAGAAACTTAACCTTCTTACTGCAATTTTTTCCCACCAATTTTTTTTTTTTTTTTTTTTTGTAACTTTTAGATTAGTGTTACATTATTGCTTGAAATCATCCCAATTTTGTTTTATTGTTTATTTTTTTAATCCCCTCTATTCAGAATATGCATGTAATCATAATAAAGAGCAGTTTTATTTATATTTTAGTATTTAATTTAAAATTTCTTCAATGCATTACATAGATTTTAGTACTTGAATTATTATTACTACTATGTCTTTAAAACAATTACCGCATTCCACCATCAAATTAATTAGCAGCGCACAGGTTATTACCTCTGTATCATCAGTGGTAAAAGAGTTAATTGAAAATTCCATAGATGCTGGAGCAACCAACATTGAAATCAAATTAGTATGACCTTGTATTATATTTTATATCTAATGCAGTGTCATTTGATAAATTATTATAATTCTGTTGTTCATCTTAGGAGAATCATGGTCTGGATAAAATAGAAGTTAGAGATAATGGAATAGGAGTAAAACGGGAAGAAGTTCAGTATATGTGTAAAAAAAGTTATACATCTAAAATCAAAACTTTTGATGATTTATGTGAGTTTTTTTAGAAGCATAAAGGACATGATTTACCCATACTTTTAAGTGCAACACCGAGAATGAATTAAATTGTTTTAGATAAATTGTCTACTTATGGCTTTAGGGGTGAAGCTTTGAATTCTTTATGTGCTCTAGCTACAGTTAGTATAACGACTATTTCAGAGGGTGAAGATGTTGCTATGGTCTATGCATTTGATCATGAAGGCAATATTAAAAGTAACAAAATTTCGCATATTGTAAAAGGTACTATTAAATTATTCAAGAATTTTATGTTAATATGATAATAATTTAAGTGCACGATACATAATTTTTTGTTAGTGATAATAAAACTGTAAGTTTGGATTAATCTGTTTGCAGGTACCACTATAGTGGTTGAAAATTTATTTAAAAATCTTCCTGTTAGGAAACAATTCTTGACAAATGGGAGGAGGAAAATGGATGAGATAAAAAAAGTTGAACAGGTAGTTAAAACTTTAGCAGTTATTCATCCAAGATTGAGAGCGGTTTTAACACACAACAAATTTTGTATATGGCAAAAGAATTGCGTTTCTACTTTGAGACAATCCTTAGTTCAAATAATTGCTCCTACTATCGTCAAACAACTGACTGATATCAAATATGAAAGTGAAACTGTAAGTTTTTATTTGTTAAGACTAGTATTAAAGTTTTTATTATTTTTTATTGCAATAAGTCTATTAATATTTCAGATATCTTTTGATTTATTAGTACCAGCTAGAGCTTGTAATATCTCTAGTACTTGTTATGGAAATCCTGGTGATGCAATGTATTTATTTATAAATTTAAGACCTATCAAAAACAAAATGATTGAGAAGGTATTTTTTGAATGATTTGTATTAAACTTAAGTACTTAATTATCTAAGTTTCATTTATTAATTTTACTCAAATTGACTCTCCTTTTGCTATAAAATGATTGTAGTATATTAATTTTATAATGTTGAATTTCATAATTGTCTTATATTATGATTATTTTATTTTAGTTCACCTATTGGTATGGAAGTTTTAATTTGTTTTAGATAGTTCAGGATGAAATTTTTTCTTATTTTGGTCATGAGATACCTTCAGGAAAGTATCCTACATGCTTGGTTTCTATTAAGTTACCTCCTGATAGTTTAGATGTAAATTTGGAACCAAATAAAACTAGGGTCATCATAAAAGATATAGTATGTTCACTTTAGAATTAATGATCTATAATTATCTCTATTTTATTGTATAATTGTTTTAATTGATGTGTATATTTCATCTCTTTTCTGACAGGAAGAAACAGGAAACATTCTTAAAAGAGAACTTGTTCTTTACTATGTAGGACCCATTGACACACCCAAAGAATTTCATGATATTATAGATGAAGAAATAGAAAGAAATTGCATCAAAAGGAAAAATGATGAACATGAAAAGGTCGGAAAGAAATCAAAACTCGAATCAATTGAAAAAGTTGAATACATGACTGACGGAGATGATTTAGATGACTGTAATGCACCAGACTTAATAAATGAAAACATTAAAATAATGACTGAAGAAGGTGGTCATGCAATTCATGAAAGAAACTTTAACAAAATATCAGTTATGGAAGGAATAGTTGAAATAAACAATGAAATCCCAGTTGAAACTGAAATGCAGAAGCCACCAGTTACTGTAGCTGATTTAGAAAAAAATCAATTAGTTGATGCCGAAAGCACAAATACGAAAAATATTATTTTGAACAAAAATTCAGAAAGTGGTAATCAAGATATTAATATTGATAATATAACCCTGTCTCAATGGAGTAGAGGAGATGTATGCTTGGATGGTGATTTGATAAAAGTAAGGAATTTTATGTGTCTGAGGTTGTTAATTAAAGTTTCTAAAGTTTCCCATTTTAGAATTTATTTGTCTTTCTAAACAGTAAAAGATAAATTCTCTCTAAATTATTAGATCCTTAGAATGTTAAAATACATAAGGAAGGAATTAGAATAAAATAATTTAAAAAATGATTTCTTATTAGCTCTTTAATTTTTTAATACCTGAGTTAATAAAATGTTTGCTTCTATTACAGAGTTCCACTGTGTTGTTGGATTGCAAAACTGATGAAAAGGAAAAATTAAGTTATTTTAATAATCAAGTTAATTCTGATTCGCCTCCATTCAGCGAATTGGGAGTTAATAGCCAGATTTCTACAGGTGAAAGGAGTGTAAGCAGTCAAATGGGTTGTAAGGGCATGGCGGGCTTTACGAAGTATGCTTCAGAAGCAATAAGTAAAAGTGAGCTATCATATTATTAATTAATATCTTTAAAAGTTGTTTTGATATAAAGTAAAGGTTATTTTCTTTTCTTTTATCTTTATTTGCTTCTTTCTTTTTTTTAAATAAACTGCATACATACATACATAGATGGTGCTACATCCCGTCACCAAGAATGACCCTCCTCCAAAAGCTTTCGCCAGTCAATACGATCAGCTGCAGCAGCTCTCCAGTGTCAGACTCCCAGTAGAGCCCGTGTGTCCGATGTCACTGAGTCCTCCCATCTTACATTTGGCCTGCCAACCTTTCTTTGTCCATACATCTTGCCGGGCAGCATTTTCCTGGGTATCGCCAAATCATCCATATGTGCGACATGACATGCCCGGCCCGTCGTAGTCGTCCTATCTTGATGAACTCCACCTAGTCAATATCCTTATAAAGGCAAGCGAGTTTCTGTTTTTTCCTTCTCCAAATCCCACCCTCTCGAACAGGACCAAAAATCCTTCTCAAGATTGATCTCTTAAAGATCAGAAGTCTATTTTCATCTTGCTTCTTAAAGGCCCATGTTTGTGATCCATAATTTAAAACAATGTGGACCAAGATTTTGTAGAGAGTGATCTTGGTCCTGTTAGAGAGGAACCTGCTTCTAAAATTATTCAAAAGGCTAAAGTAGCACCGTCTCGCCGTTGCTATTATCCTGTTTTTTCTTTCCTGTATTTCTTTGTTGCATCTTCTATGGTCAAGAACAACTCTCTTAATGCACGTTCCGATCTGGCGCCAATATCAAAGTTAATAAACTAGGTTGAGTGATGTTTTGTGTGTGACTTTATTTATTTTTGTAGATATGATGGTTTTATTTTTAAAAAGTAATTATTATTTTGAATTTGATCTTTTTGAACTTAATTTTTATTATCGTCTCCTATAATTTTTGAAATTATAACAAAAAAAATTTCTTTGTATGCCGTCCTTTTCTCTTGTCTATCCTACCGTTTGTTCTTGTGTTGATTATTTTTTAAATCTTTCCTATCATTCCTTTTCTATACTTCAATTATTCATGGTCCCCACCCATAGCAATGACACTGCTTTTAACAATTTTAGAAATTTCTTGTTTAATCTCAATTATCTGCTCCTCCACACATATGAACTTTGAAAAAACCTTATTTTTTCATTAAAGGAATATAAATATTATTTTAATTACAGTACATTACATTTATCAAGGTAGTGTTCGAATCAACAAAAATTATAGCACAGGTCATCTGATTTGATTCTCCTCATGTACATCATTTATCAGAAAATATCTAATTCCCAGTGTACCGATGAATTGATTTTAGTTCACATGTTTTTATTACCTCCAGCTCAGGATAACATATTTACTGCGCTAATATTATAAATTCATGGTTTAATCTTCTTCTTTAGGCACGAAATTTGTTGCAAGAGAAAATTCAATACACAACTCCTATTTTGGATTTCCAGAATAGTGTAGGAATGTGATCTCACCTCTTCAAATCCATCAAATTACAGAATCTTTTAATCATTTCTCAATTCTGTCCTGCTTATGAGACTACCTCTCTTTCTATATCAACTGATAATTTTTATTTTCACAATTCAAAGAACACAAGTTTACCTTTAACCCTTTGACTGCGGGAGCTCATTCGCGAGTATCTACCATAGGTTGCATCCTGAATCCACAAAGACATCCAAAAAACTTTTTATTTTTTTTTTTTTTTTATAAATTAGTTTAAAATGCTATTTTGAGTCGCCCTACAAGATCTTATTTGTGAAATTGAGTCAAAAAGTTTAAAAGTTCTAAAATCTGTAAGTTTTGTGTTGGAATAAAAGTGAGTTTAATTTCAATCAGAGTACTCAAATTTACTGTATATGTGGCCAGGGATCAAATATAATGGGTAGTTATATATTGACACCAAACCTGAACATTAGTGGCTACCATGACAGGACCTAAGTTAAATTTTTGCTTAGAAAGCAACAGCTTTCAACTGACTGTTCAAAGTTGTGTGTTCAGATGAGGTTTATCTAGAATTTAAAATGGTTATTAGCTTTAAGTCCTTCTGTTAAATGAAATGGTCGGTGGCACCTGGTCTATAGGGAACATCACTGGTCTTGAATGTTGGCACAGAAAATCAGCAAATAAAGGAGCTTTTTCATCTGTGGTCTGTATATCCAATTGAGTGTATGGATTTTTATCATTAAGTAAACACCATCTTTCGTTTCATAGTACTGAAAAATGGAGATGATTTCAATGTAAAGAAGTCATTGAAGTAATCACAATTGAATAGTATGGCAGACAAGTCTGGAGAACAGTATTGTTTAAAGAGTACTTTAGTACTTATATTTCATATAATATAAAAGGGTTTGAAACTCACAATAAATGTAAATAATAAAATTTATAACTGCGCTATTTTCAATATGGATTTTTTTAGGTAAGGAAAAAATTTGTAAATACAAAGAATCTTGCAGTCAGGGTCCTTTTTTAATGAACAATATAATTTAATTTTTATGATCACTGACAGTTATTTTTGTGATCATTTTAAGTTATTTGGCTTTTCAGAATTTAGACAGTAAAACAAAACAAAGTTTATATAAAAATATAAAATTGCTGCTCTAATTTTATAATGTTAAGTGTAGCCGGGGAGGCTACCTGTTTTTAAAAGTTGAACGTTAAAATGCATTAAACATAACATAAAAAACGTTAAAATGCATTTTTGAAAGCTAAGATCTTGCAAGGTGATTCAAAATATCATTTTAAACAAATATACATACATACATACATTATGTATATATACGTTATATATATATATATATACATATATATATATATATATATAAGATGGATGGAAAAATAATAAGACAACAGGCATTATTTTAATTTTGTATTTATAAGTGCTGTGGTTTGTTTACTTTTCAAAGGAAATGTAACCAAACAATATATATATTGTTAGGTTACGTTTCCTTTGAACAGTAAACAAAACAGTTTCTGACTCCAGTTATATTTATTTTACATAATAATTATTTATCAGGTTGGGTTGAGACAACAATCACATTCCTCAAATATATGATATAAAAGTATACATTAATTTTATATAACATTCATGAATTTCCATTGGCACGTCAAGGACTACTCTTGGCGTGCTTTCTAACTGTCACTATTTATATTTTACTCACCCTGTTCTTTAGTGAATCCTGCTCTGTATTGTTGTATTCAATTTCTACAATCTTCTATTCTTCCTTATTGACACTCACTACTTGATAGTCACTTTTTCTTCCCTCGATCCTCTTTACTAGCCTGATAGCTACCTTCTGCCCTAACATATGGCTCTTCTTCCCCCTCCATCTGTCATTCTCTGCCTCTTTGTCAATTTTCGAGAGTAGTTTGTGAGGTCACTGCCTTCGCCCCAGTATTTAAAATCACTATGTAATAATCACATTACTATATACATATAAAATGTAGAAAAATTACATTTATTTGTTTAGTAAACTGAGATACACATGTACTAAAATCAGCATACAGTCAAAACCAAAATTAAAAAAAAAAAAGAAAAATATATAAAATTAAGTTATTAACATTTATTTTATGTATAAAACATTTAAATAGAATATTAATATGATCATGAATATGAAACAAATAACAGAGAAAGGACATACCTTGTGTTCAGAATAAATCTACAACTGGTAGCTTCCGAATGGTCAGAATCCGGAACGACTGCACTGAATTAGCTACAGTCGACTAATGAATGCACCAACTTAGCCACAAATCAAATGGTGGAGGGACATTCCCCTACCTATTTAAGTGGCGACCATTCAAGCGGGAAGGCTTACATCGGCCACACCAGTGACCCAATGCACTAAGTGACCCAACTCTTAACGGGAAATCATATATCCTGTCCGCAGTCAAAGGATAAATCAAATAATAGCATGGATTTTTTCATCACAATCCCCTCCATGAATAAATGGATTCATAAACTGAAAGTAGTAACATCGCTAATGCAACAAAATATTATTAAAATTGACTTAGCGAATACTTGAAAATTTTGATACACTAGTTAATCATCTAAACCAATGGTCGCCACTTATGTTCGGGTTAGGAGTCAATATACAACTACCCATTATATTTGATCCCTGGGCACAAATATAATAAATTTGAGTACTCTGATTGAAATAAAACTCACTTTTATTCCAACACAAAACTTACAGAGGTTTTAGAATTTTTAAACTTCTTGACTCAATTGCACAACTATAATGCTGACATCTGAATATTTTAACAATATAAAAATAATTTAAATATTTATAAAACAAACATCAGTTTTGACTGACTTCCTAACACCACTTGTTTAAGCTATTCCCTTCTCCAAGTTACTATGCAAAGGAAACATTCAGTTGTACATATCTGGCCTAGAAGCCTCAGCAATTATTATTATGTCTGATGTATTGTAAAGTTAATTTAAGTTTATAGATTAAATCATTGAAATATCATAAATAATAGCAAGAATTTTAAATGTGATGTATTCTGATTTATTATCTTAAGAAATTGTATACTTACTTATTTCAATTTTGATTATTTTAGTTACTAAGGGTGGAGACGGTTCCAATTTCACCAAGGTTGCTGGTGAAATAGCATCAAAATGGAGAGAAATGAATGATATCGACAAAGATAATTATCTTGAGAAAGCAAAAAAGAAACAGAAGGAAAAGGAGAATAAAGATAATGCTCTAATGAGAGAACGATTACAGAAATTTCTAGAAAAATGTAATGAAAAAAGAGCTCTAAAAAAGAAAACCTACCACACTGAAATTGATTTAGATATAAATATGGAATCTTTAAAAATATCGGTAAAGGAAAGGTAAATTTTACTTTCTATTAATTTATTTACCAGTTAATGATTTTATATTGTTTTAGTATTCAATAATACTATAATATGATCCTGAGGTAACATTTTTGGTTATCTCTAGTTTGTAAAATTGAAAAATACTGATTTTTAAATCTTGTTTATAGATATCTGTTCTACTAAATCTAAATACAATAAATGAATTAGAAATCAAGCCAAGGTAAAATGAACAATAATAATCATTACCTCAATTTATGAAAATATTCACCAAAAATTAATAAAAACTTGATAAGTAAATACTCTACAATGCATTAAAGAACTAAATTATACATTTAAATAAAAACATATTATCACTTACCTAAGTCTGGTCCAATAATTGTAATTGCTCAATTGCTAGAAAAGGATTTTTTAATAGATGAATCCATATGACTAATAAACTTAAAAAAAATTCCTTTATTTCTTAAACTCATTAACAAAGTAAAGCCGTTCATTTTTCAGATTTCCAAAAATAATGGTTACCCAATCAAAATCATCATGCAACTCTTATAAGTATTAAAAAGGAAATCTGTAAAACATTAAATTTAATCATTATAATTTTAATCAAGAATATTTAGAGCCATCTATCATTTAAATTGGTCCAGAAATAAACGTAATCAACAGAATATTTTAAAAAAGATAACAAAATTATTGCTCTTATGATTTTTTTAGGGTGTCCCAAAATTAACACAAGATTTAAATTAAATATAAAACACAGTTCTTTCTTCTTTTGTTTTCTTTTTCTTAGTCAATTAAACAGTTGATATTTAAGGGTTAGTAAAAATGGAGCGTTATACTAGTGAACAACGTGTTTTCATTGTTGTAGAATATTTTAAAAATAATGAAAGTCTTGCGGCCACTTGTCTTGCTTCGATATTGACACTTGTTTCGATATTGACACTCGCCTTGTTTCTGGACAACCAGTGTGTTTAACATCAATTGATCCAGTCCGCTTGAATTTATCAATCACTTCCTTCAAAGCTGATGAAGTTAAGTCACTATTCCGACCATATTTTGTACGAAATTTTCGAATTGTGGATGCCAGACTTTCATTGTTTTTAAAATATTGTTCAAAAATGAAAACAAGTTGTACGCTCGTACAACGCTCCACTTTTACTAACCATAAACTATCAGCTTTTAAATGACAAAGAAAAATAAATCAAAAGAAGAAAAACTGTGTTTTATATTTAGTTTAAACCTTGCATTAATTTTGGTACATCCTTTAGAACCAAAGACTGAATTGACCCTATGTGTAAGAGTGTTAGTTAATATTCAATTGAGTTCTTACGCTTTGCTGTTTATATCGGGAAAACAGGTAAGAAACTGAAAATCTGAATAAAAGGTTATCTACTTGGGTCAGGTACTAATCATTTTAAGGATGATTTTTTAAATAATAGGTTCTCAGATGAAGATAATAAGATAAAACCTGTACAAATATACCCAAAGGTAAAAAGATAGACTTCCTGGAAAAACTGGTGATTAGAAAAGCAGTAATGAAAAATAAATGTTTTACACCTGTATGTTAACAATAAAATTTGAGTATTATGTCCTCATTAAATTAGTTGTAACTAATGAAAATATAATGTAAATAGTCGAGAGAGTCCATCTAACAAATATTTTTATTTCTAATTGTCAATGAGGACATTGCAATTATTGTGTTAGGATAAGGTAATTATTATTATGTTTTTATTTTAATGTATATTGTTTATTGATTTAATGATTTATTTGAATGTTAAGTTTTTTATAAATTTCTAGTGTTTATGAATTGTTGATAATGATTATTGTTGTTTATTTTGTCTTGACATGATTTATATTTAATTTATTATATTTTTCTGTTTTAATAATAATATCCATTACTTATTGATATATTATATTTAATAATTGGTTTCACTAAAAAAGTGCTATGTATTATTCTTACAAGTTTTTACTTTAATAAAATATTACTTTAGAGTACAAGATAATTTTCAATTATAGAAAGTCAGAAACAGAACTGGGATTCAGATTCTTGGGTGAATTGAATGAAGACTTAAAATGTGTTGCAATTGCATATGATTTTTACGTTTTTAGTACAAGAAGGCTCCAGGAAGCATTGTTGTTTTATAAAAATGTAAGAACTATGATAATCCCTCTTAAGGTTCTTGAATCAGGGATTACAGTTAAAAAAGAGTAAGTAGAGTGTGGAGTTAATGTCTATTAATTAGTTGTTATTTTTAAAAATTAAATTGTTTTTAATAATTAATGATACGAGAATATCTAAAATATTATTAAATATTTTATTTATTTTGTTTTTATATAGCATTAAATAAATATTTATTTATTTTATAGTATTTTGAATCAAAATTGTTTCAAAACATTGTTACCTAAAATCAGGCTCATTTAGTTTTTGAACTTATATTAAAAAATACAAATCAAGTACAAATATTCATAGAATCTCACTGAATTAATTAACCAGACAGTCAGTTAAATACATCACCCTCCTTGTTGCTCAATCTTAGTTGGGTAATAAGTTATTTAGTCATTAGTTAATTATTGGTACACATTCAAAATATATGATTTTTATATGCAATATTATTGGTTCTTGAGTTTAGACTTTATAACCTTTGTATATTTTTTATTTCAAGTAACTTATATTTATTTTTAAATTGTTCATCTCAAATATACATGCATTTTAGTTTTTTTTCTAAATTATACCAGTCAATTTCTTTATCTTTGAATTTAAAGTTGTTTGAATCATATGAAAAACATTAGCATCATGATTGTATTTGTATAGTTTTTTTAAAGAGTATTGGTTGATATTTAAAAATTTTTTATTCTAAGGATTGTTTGTTAAAAAGATTAAGAGGTTCCATACTTAATATGCGTTACTGATTAAGACAATAGAAAAAAATATATATAATAATATTTGTTAAACCTAGATATTAAATTATATTTCTTTTTTTACGGTTTTCTCAGTGATTTAGGAGAATCGCTATGGTCAGTGTTGGTGGCCATGGAGACAGCTATCGATGTGAAGTGTGGTGCTGTCATTATTTCTGATGAAAGAATTTCGAGGAATGGCCTTAGAATAGAACTTGTTAAAGATGGCAAGTATCTTTAATATTATGCAACTTTTATTATTATTATTACTAACAATAGTTCTTAGTTTTAAAGTACATAATAATATTTTTATAATAATATCATTCTAGACCCAAATGGATGTAGCTTTTTAATTACTGATATACCTTTGCATATTGCATTTTTTGGACTGGATGATTTAAAAGAAATCTTAAGTCTTATTGAAACATCAAACCCTGAACTGCCATTGGAAGACTGTCGGCCATTAAAAGTATTAAGTTACATCAGGGTGAGTTGACACAAAAGTTTTGTATTTGTCTGCATGAATTAGTATTGATATATTAGATGTATTCAGGTTCGAATCCATTTTTCTTTAATTCAGCACTGGCATATATAAAATAGTAAATCATTAGGAAAAATGTTTACTTATTTCTAAGAGGCAAAATGTAGTCAATGCTTTGTTTAGCTGATGATTTGTAAAGATATGAAGACTATTTATTAAACAAAGTGCTAATTAATGTTATTTAGCATTGAGTTCTCAAAACTAGTGGAGTTAGACAGAAATATATAAGATTAGTGGTACTACCAAAGTTTAAGTATGTAGGATCAACAATATCTGACATAAATAAACAAAATTATTACGGAAATAAGAGCTCAGACTAAATTTGGATGTGTATATATATATATATATATATATATATATATATATATATATATATATATATATATATATATATATATATATATATATATATATATATATATATACTGTAAAATTACTCATTTTGTATTGAGGTAAACACTTAAAAGCCTGGCTATCCCCTCTCAACCTTTAACTCGACTTTTTAAATCTTGTCTCTTCTTAAGGCACATTTTCCATCTATCACAAAAGATTGTCCCCATCTTCATCCAATCCAACAGTTTTCACACCTATTTCATTTATACTATTCTTTAATGGTATGAAACATTGACATTAAGTGTGTGATGTAAATATAATCATACAGTTTTTGAAACAACTATTGTGAATCTACTGAGTTGCATGGACTGTTTCTGGGACATATATATACATATACAATCATGGAGGGAGAAAGAACATTGAGATTGGGACATATTTGAAATTGGTGCGAAAAATTGTTGGATTAGACGAAAATGGGAAATAGAATGGAATTTGGATCTTGCATCATCAAGTTTCTAACCAATACTCTTTGGAGTTGGTTATTATTTCACATCATTTTGAACATTCTGGAGAGACCATAAGTACTCAACGATGTCAACCTGATATCTTCTATATATTCTAATACATTCTAGTTTCATTTACCCTCTCTCTCTGACAATTCCTGATCTTCCACCACTTGTAATATCTGACAAAAAAAAAATGATCAAACTTAGACATTCAAAACAATTATGGTGTGAGGATCTCGCTCTGTTTGTTACTCTTTCCTGTATACTCCTTGAAAAGTCTCTGAAGCTATAGTGTCAGATTTGGAGGAGGTTAAGGAAGAACAATCTTTCTTTAAGAGGGCCTGCTTGGTGATTAATCTACAAGAGAGAATCAGCAAAGATCCCAGAATATGAAGTAAGATATATTAGAAGAATAGAACAGGCATGTTTTTGGCAACCTCAAATGGAATAATACTAAGAAAGTACTTTTCCACTGTCAGATCATGCTTAGAAAAAAATAGATATTACAAATTCTCATGTATGGAGTTCCACATCGAAGCATTTTAAAGATTGTAAAAACATTGATCTTCTATGCCCTAGTTGTGGCATAGTAGAATCTGCTGAGCATATCGTCATAGCCTTTATGATTTAAGAGGCACTGAGAGCCAAATTGCTAAGGAACACTGGGCTCTATCTTTTGACTGGGAACAGGGAGGTCTCCAGGCAGAAGAGAAGAAGATGGCTAAACTGAAGAATGAATAAGAGGCTGTATGCACAGCTATTGATCATAATGTGACGAAATTCACTTGCAGCAGTGTTATGTTGTACAGGCTTATGTTATCACCTCACTGTTAGAAATTCTCCTATTCCCTTCAGGGCAGGGTAGGGTAGAAAATTAAAGTAAATAAATATATTTATTATTGAATGTTTACTTTACTATTATAAATCTCTTATCAGTCAAAAATTTTATTTATTTGATGGGAGGTTGATAGCCAAGATGTCTTCAGTTTTTTAAAATCTTAAAAAAACTGATTGCAACGTGACTATCTATCTATTTTTCTAACCTAACCCTTCTATCTATCATGATATGCAGAGTGGTTTATGATATCCTTCAGTTATTTATTTGACAATCAGTTAAATAGAATGTTTAATTAAAATCTATCTCTAGTTTCGTTTATTTTTATTTTTTCCAGGGAGAAACCATTCGTTTCATAAGCAAGAATGATGTTGACACAGAAAGTGACAGGATTCTTGACGAATTCAGATACTGGCTTGATAATATCAAACCAAAATCAAAACGTTGCCCACATCAAAAAGCTGTTTTTAAAAGAATCGATTTAAAAGATTTCATATAATGATTTGAATAATTTAAATTTGATAAATATCTGTGCTCTCAGGATTACTTACATTTGTTTTGTATATATTTGTTTAAATGTAATTTATTTTATATTTATTTAATTGGTCTTCATCTATTAAATGAATATTTCTCTGTTTTAAGTTTTGTTACCATTCATTCCTTTATTATTGCTAATTTTTCTAGTTAATCAAAAGATCTAAATAATTTTTAAATCCAATGTGATCTACTTTCGCCTTGGACTTATCTAGAAAAAATACTACTTGGAATTGTCAAGAAAATTTTCAATTTATGTTTACAAAGTTTTTCACCGCCATTGAGATGAGTTAAGACTATAGCCCTTAACTTCTATCAGTTGATTGGAGGAAAATACCAGAATTTATTTACAGAAAACTCTTACTGCTCAAGATATCTTCTTTATTGAAAACATCTAATGTATCCAATACATGAGTCTTGACTCATGGAAAAGGAAGCATGGATGATAATGTTTTATATAAGTGTACAGTTGATTGAAGAAGTATTGTTATTCATATCTGTTTCTTTTGTCAGCCTGTCTGAATTCAACCATATTATTGGTTAGTTCCAGTCATGAAAAAAAAGTCTCTAAGTTGAAATCAATTTTTAAATTCCTTGTTTATAATATATCTAGAAAATTCTTATTTATTGTTATAATTGCATTTAAATATACACGCTGTATATTTAGGATATTATTTGAATTTATTTTTCAAACATTATTGTTTTGTTTTCAGCTTTAGCTTGTATGTATATTTATAATTTTCATAGGTGTTGACAGACACATCTAAAAAAAATGCATATATATTCCTCATAGAAAGAAGTGTGTTAATATTTTTGAATATAGCTGGTTTTTACCAGAAGACATTTTAGAAGTGCTCTAATGTAAATAACATTTTTTGACTTTTGTCACCATTTTCAGAATCTGCCATGAATTTTCAGTAGTACAGTAACCAATTTATAAGGAAATATCGCTCCATCAAGCTATAATCTCAGCTGAAGTAAACAAGTAACAATATTTTTTGAACATAGTAGAATCTCACACAATCAATTTCCACCTTAGACTTATGGGATTGTAAGAGAGCAGATTTTGAAAGGTTTGCCCGACTTTAACTAAAACTAAACTGAAACTATTCTGATTTTGAAGATATGTTGACGTTGGGGTAGTCCAAAAACGTTAAATACTTACAATACGATTATCTGCCTAGTATCTTTTATTCTGGTTTTAATTGTTTCTCCAACATGAATAAATTATTTGTGCAAGATTGAAAAAGTGTGTACATTGGCTAAAACCTTACATAAGACCAATTTTGATGGAGCTACATAGCACTTGTGGTGCTGGGAAGGTAAGCTAGCGTGCTCCACAACGTGGGAACCTTCGGCCCGATAAATGATGCACATGCTCCCTATTAGCTAGCCTTATCGCTGCTGATTTATCCCTTGTGCAGCTTATAGCGGGTGTCAACCCCTCTATAACTACCTTCCCGGTACACCTGATATACCACCCAGGGAGCCCACCCGGCTTAAACTTTTTTCCATCCGGCAACCGACAAAAGGACGCCGTAAATTCCTTCCAAAATGTGCAATTAACAGATATATTGTAAGAAGATAATTATAGCCGTGTGATTTGATGTAATTAGCGCGGAATCCGGCGGGTGAGCTACCGTCTCCCGTCCCGTCCTCGGTTCCTTTCTCCACCACGATAGAAATGCCACGCATCTGCGTTTGAAGTTTTTGGCTCAAGTTATTTGTTGTTTCGTTTTTTAAAAATTGTCATTGAATTGATTGCATTGAGATATTTATGCAAAAGTTAGAAACAGGTGCAAAAATCCAACAAGAAATAATGAAACACAAATATTTTATGAAATATATCAGAAAAATAAGTTAATTACTGTATAAAAAATAAAACACTGAATCTCATCAATATTCCGTAAGAATGACGAACTAAAGAATTATGAGCAACTTGGCTGAGAGCAATTATGCGGCTTAAGGCAGTGGTGGCTGAGCCCAACGATGTATCCAACACAAAATAGAAGTAGTGAGATCTTTAATATAATCTCTAAATATAATTTCTTTCAGATAGAGGTGACGTAGTTTTTTTTTCCGAACTGTTGAATTACCCCATCAATTACAACCTGTCCCTGAATATACCTATGACCGAGCGTGTTGGGGCCATACCCCAAATATTATCAAGAATATTGTGGGTGAGAAATAGTATCGGTTCGAATCCGGCAAAGGTAGAACTCAAGCTGTTTTATTATAGATCTACGGTATGAATTTTGATACAGTAGCTCTTTCTTGAATATGGTGGTAACCTGAAACGTGAATCAGATATTATATGAATCAGTATATTAACAATCTCTATTGGTACTGGTTGTGATAAGAGGAACTAGTCCGGTAAGTGGGATTTTCTGTGTTTTTTTTGCCAACCCCTGAAGGCCACCATTCGTAAGAATGGCTGCCACCTACATAGCAGATTGGAAGGGACAAAATTCATTTCTCAGAGCCACCGAGAAATAAATATTGACTGACCCAAGTTGGAATCTAATTCACAACGTTCCAGATCTGGCACTCGGGGACCCTAACCAGAAACTGCTTGGCCATCATGTCTTCTAACCTATCCCTTACCATTCGTAGAAGCTTCAAACAAATTATTATCGAATTAGACTAATAATAGACGTATTATATGTTTTATACTGTTGAAACTGTCCACAAAATCCGATTTAAAGTCACAATTTTTTTTCTTCATAAGATTGGAAAGGAAGTGTTATTGACGAAAATGGTAGGAGGTAAGGTAGTAGCCCTCAGGCAAACCGCCTTATCCGCCATCTGCCCCCTCTTCTTGGATTCTCTCGAAGTTATCTTGGATCCTCTTTAATTTCGTCGAGGCAGGCGTCCATTCAAAGGATATATAAATAAAAAACAACATATTTTTAGGAATTTGTGAGCAATAATGAGATACTTCTTCTATTGGCGAAGATAGATTCCAAGATATGAAAATTTTCTAGATTGTCCACGCGCTTTTTCTGCCTACACCGACCTATAATCAGTCTTAAATAATTTGTGAGGAGTTATCTCTGAATATGTGAACAACCAGAAACCTGTTATTTGGTTAATAATTTTACTTTAGATAGCCACTGCTTGGTGTTTAAGTGAATTTAGGAAGAATAAAATAAAGTTTAAAAGATATAAAACTTTGGATGTCATTGTGTATATTTTTTACTTTCACTTACCTATATATCTTTTTTTTTTGGGTCCTCCCCTTCCTCACCTTTAAGGCTATACGGGGGTTTTCCGAGTCAGGAGGTGTGGGCGGGGATTTATAAGATTCCTCCGGCACCGGGACCCGAACTCGTGACTTATCCGTACATGTAAAATGTAGTAAGGTTAACATTGTGATCGTGAACATTTTTAACCTTAATTTTCAACAGAAATACACGTTTTGAGGTTCCCTGAGTCCAATTAACCAAGTCCCGAAAAACGTTGTGTGTGTATGTGAACACTAGCTCAAAATCGAATAGTCGGACGAAACTGATATTACTTATTCAAGATAGGTAAATGCCTAAGATGTCAGAGCAACATTTCCTTAAAATCAGCTAACCGGAAGTATGATACAACGGTGAAACACATTTTTACATTTTTCTCTAAAACGGCTCTAACGATTTTGATTGAATTCGGTGTATCATCGTGTAATTAAGTGGTCTTTACTATCATTAACGTCTTATCCCCGTTAAGGTCACTTTACAGGGCTTAAATCCCCAATGTTTATATGCCTCTTCCTCTAAAGTACCTTTAATATGGTTCATTTTAAATAATTGACTATTGCTCATTATTAAGAGCTACAAAAAAATGCTAAATATAACTTTTGAAAAAATTTGATAATTGAATAAAAGAGAAGAAAATAAAAATGCTTATACAGGTCGAAAATGAATCTCCGGAAATACAAGTCAGAAGGTATATTTATTACTATATCGTTGGAAAGCGGAGAATTTTAGAAAGAAAAAAAAACAATATTTAATATAGAAAGTTGTAGAAGATAACGGAGAGTGTCGAAAAAACATAAATAATAATTTCTAAAAACTAACATTATTTATATTTTTAACTTTTTTTTGTAAGTTTGAAAAAGTATTTAAAATCCACGGATTCAAGGCAATGACATTGTTTAAGATACTATTCCATTGTACTTATGTGAAAGAAGAAGTGAAATATAAAAATATTTCATAGAAATATTTATAACCTTAAAAACATTTACTGTAGTTTAATAACTCTAGATTTGATATTATATTTAAATAATTGGGTATCTATCGTCCCTTTATTCCGAAAAATCATCATGTAACTTGTTAGAAAATTAAATTAGTGAATAATTTGATGAATTTTCCCTTTGCGATTTTAAATACTTTGTTAATTGAATCTATTCCTTACAAATAAAAGTATACTTCAGAAAGCACTTACAATTATTTACCTCTATACAATAAAATTAATTCTTATTATTCTACTTCTTGGTTTTCGCTCGACTACCACAGCACTGTTTGAGACGGCTTTGGATAGAGTTAAATCCTAAATCTCAGTCGTGTTCCAAGTTTTTCCATCTTCCCTCTCCAAGACCTCGTTTGTCGAATATTTTTTTCAGTCCTTCATTTCAAGTGGACGTACTACATACATGGAAATAAAAAGGGTTATTGTGGAAAATATTCTTTAAAAAAAAAAGGAAACTAAAATAGGAGCGACAAAATAGATTTACCAATTCAAGAGATAATCGTCTAAGAAAATGATACAATGGCTAAAAACTTGTTTTTGGACTCAGGGAACTCTGGAACATGAAGATCTATTGAAAACTGCGCATAAAATACTACAATACTTTTCGTAAGTAGTGGAAGGGTGCCCATCCTCCCTAAGGTCGATGGCGCAAGAAGTTACTCCTCTCCCCTCCCAAGATATTTCATTGCTAACCCTTTCTTGAAAACAGGGCAAGGGAAAGTAAAATTAGAAAAATCATAGATCATTCACAACTATACTCGTTGCTGTCTGTTCAATGTTTACCCCTTGCCCCTTATTCTGAAAATTTTCATTCCGAAAATTCATAACCCCATTAAAATTTGTCCCACTCAAAAATTAAAAAATCCGTAAAAAT